TTGCATTGATATGATAATGTGATTTTTCCTTTAGTCTGTTAATACAGTGGATTACATTGATTGGCTTTTGAATTTTGAAACGGCTTGGCATCCCTAGAACAAACTCCACATGGTCATGGTATATAATTATTTTTATACATTGCTTAAATCAATTTGTTAATGTTTCATTAAGGGTTTTGGCACCCATATTCATGAGGGCTTTTGGTCTGTAATTTCCTTCTAGTTTGAATTATGTTGGTCTGGTTTTGGTATGAAGGCAATACAAGCTTTATAAAACGAATTAGAAAGTAGTTCTTCCTTTCTCATTTTCTAGAAGAGATTTGTGTATGTGGTATTAATTCTTTTTTTGAGAATTGGTAGAATTCTACAATCTGGGTCTAGAGATTTCTTTTTTAAATGTTTTCAATGTTTATTTATTATTTTTGAGAAGGAGAGAGAGCCAGAGCACGAGCTGAGGAGGGACAGAGAGAGAGGGAGACAGAATCTGAAGCAGGCTCCAGGCTCTGAGCTGTCAGCACAGAGCCCAACATGGAGCTTGAACTCACAAATTTGTGAGATCATGATCTGAGCCAAAATCAAGAGTCAGATGCTTAACTGACTGAGCCACCGAAGCGCCTCAAGATTTCATTCTTTTATTTGTGGCTGAATGTATATATGTATGTATGTATGTATGTATGTGTGTGTATATGTGTATACACATAAATACATTTACATATAAATGTATATTTATATATCTTCTTTATCCATTCATCAATCAGTGGGCATTTGGGCTGTTTTCATATGTTAGATGTTGTAAATAATGCTGCCGTAAACATAGGAGTGAATGTATCCCTTTGAATTAGTGTTCTTGTATTCTTTGGGTAAATACCCGGTAGTGTGATTCCTGGATTGTAGGGTAGTTCTAGTTAAAAAAAAAAAAAAAAAAAAAAAAAATTTTTAACATGTATTTATTTTTGAGAGATAGAGAGAGACAGAGCATGAGTGGGGGAGGGGCAGAGAGAGAGGGAGACACAGAATCCGAAGCAGGCTCCAGGCTCTGAGCTGTCAGCACAGAGGCAGTCGCGGGGCTCGAACTCATGAGCCATGAGTCGTGACCTGAGCCAAAGTTGGACGCTTAACTGACTAAGCCACCCAGGCGCCCCAGGGTAGTTCTATTTTTAACTTTTTGAGCAAACATACTGTTTTCCAGAGTGGCTGCACCAGTTTGCATTCCCACTAACAGTGCATGAGTGTTCCTTTTTCTCCACATCCTCAACAACACCTATTGTTTTTTGTTAAAATTTAATTTTAAATTTAATCAAACAACCATGAAAGGAAGTGGTATTTCATTTTGGCTTTGATTTGCATTTCCCTAATGAGTTATGATATTGAGCATCTTTTATGTGCTTATTACACCATTTATATGTCTTCTTTGGAGAAATGTGTATTCAGATCATTTTCCCATTTTAAAATTGGTTAATTTGTCATTTTATTATTGGCCAGTAATTTTTCTGTATCTATTATGGATGCTAGACCCTTATCAGATATATGATTTGTAAATATTTCTTACATTTTGCGCATTGTCTTTTCACTTTCTGGATGGTGTCATTTGAAGTACCAACAATTTTTATTTTGATGAAGTCCAATTTTTCTATTTTTATTTTCATCATTGTGCTTTTGGTGTTACAGCTGAGAATTCATTACCAAATTCAAAGTCGTGAAGATTTATTCCTATATTTTCTTTTAAGAGTTTTCTAATTTTTGTTCTCATATTTAGGTCTATGACACATTTTACTTTTTGTATGTGATGTGAGGCAGGGACTCAGCATCATTCTTTGCATGTGGATATCCAGTTGTTGAAAAGACTGTTCCTTCCCCCATTGAATTTCTTGGTACCATTGTTAAAAAATCAATTGATGATAAATGTAAGGGTTTATTTCTAGATCATCAATTTTATTCCATTGATCAATATATCTATCCTTTTTAGGGGGAAATTTTTAAAATTACAATTTCACTTTCCTTAATAATTATAGCTCTATTAAATTTAACTATTTTATATTGGATGAGTTGTGGTAGTTTGTGTTTTTTGAGAACTTGGTCCATTTCATCCTTGTTAGTGAATGTATGTAGAGTTTTTTGTGGTATCCCTTCATTAACCTTTTAATGTTTGCTGGGTCTGTAGTGATATCCCCTGTTTCATTCATAAAATTGATAACGTGTCTTCTGTCCTTTTTTCTTGGTCAGTATTGTTAGAGGTATGTCAATGCAACTGATTTTTTTTCAAAGAACCAAGTTAAAAAATTGACTTTTTTCTATAGTTTTTATTTTCAATTTTGTTGATTTATGCTCTTATCATTATTATTTACTTGCTTACGTTTCCTTTGGGTTTATGTTGCTCTTTTTTTTTTTTTTCTAGCAGCTTGAGGTGGAAGTTTAGATTATTGATTTGATTGATTTGGTTATTGATTTGATTACTCTTTCATAATGTATGTATTTTATTTAGTGATACAAATTTCCCTCTTGGCACTGCATTAGCTGTGCCCTTCAAATTTGACACATTGTATTTTTATTTTCATTCAGTTCAGTGTATTTTTATATTTCCCTTGAGACTTCTTCTTTGACCCAAGGACTATTTAGAATTGTTTTCCACCTATAAGTAAGGTGTCATTTCTCTTTTGATTGTCTTTAGTTTTCTTAAATTTGACTATGATATGTCATGTTGTGGATTTCTTTGGGTTTATCTTATTTTATTTTTTATATTTATTTTTTATTTCAGAGACAGAGACAGAGTGAGAGAGAGAGAGTGTGTGTGTGCATGCACACACACAGCAGGGGAGGGGCAGAGGGAGAGGGAGAGAGAATCTTAAGCAGGCTCCACACTCAGCATGGAGCCTGTCACAGGGCTCGGTCCCATGACCCTGGGACCACCACCTGAGCTGAAACCAACTGAACCATCCAGGTGGCCCGAATTTATCTTATTTGGTGTTTGTTTAGCTTCTTGAATCTGGAGGTTTATGTCTCTTGACAAATTTAAGAAAGAAGTTTTCAGGTGTTGTTTTTTTGAACACTTTTCAGCCTCAGTGAATGCATGGTGGTCACTACCAGCGTACTGGACACTCCTGTATTTTGCTCCTCTGATGACATGAACATTAGGTCTGTTGTTACAGTCCCACAGGTTCTTTAGGCTCTGTTCTGTTTTTTTTTTTCTTTTAATTTTTTTTAATGTTTATTTATTTTTGAGAGAGAGAGAGAGACAGAGTGAGTGGAGGAGGGGCAGGGAGAGAGGGAGACACAGAATCCAAATCCGGCTCCGGGCTCTGAGATATTAGCACAGAGCCTGATGCGGGGCTTGAACTCAAGAACCGTGAGATTATGACCTGAGCCGAAGTCGGATGCCCAACCGACTGAGCCACCAGGTGCCCCTTCTTGTTTGTTTTTGAAGTCTGGTTTCTTTCTGTTTATCAGACTGGGTAACTTCTGTTTCTCTTTTTTACTCTTCACTTATTCTTTCCCCTGTCTGCTCTATTCTGTTGTTATGCCTTCCATTTATATTTTAATTTTGATTATTGTTGTTTTCAGTTCTAAGTTTTCCATTTGGTTCTTCTTTATATCTTCTACTTGTTTGCTGACACTATTTTTTTGTTGAGACTTTCTGTTTTTGAGTGTGTTTCGAGTGTGCCCATGATTGTTCTCTGAAGTATTTTTATAATAGCTGCTTTAAAATATTTGTCAGGTACTTTTATTGTCTCTGTCATCTTAGTGTTGGCAATCTGTATCAGTCAGAGTTCTCCAGAAATATAGAACCAGTAGGATGTGTATGTATGTGTGTATACAGATATATGTGAAGAGAGAAAGATTGATTAATTTTTAATTGGGAATTGGCTCTTGTGATTATGAAGGCTGGCAAGTCCAAATCTGCAGTTTGAGCTGGCAGGTTCAAGACCCAGGAGAGATGGTGGTACAATTCCAGTCTGACACCCAGCAGGTGGAAACCCAGTAGAGCCAATGGTGCAGATGAAGTCTGAAGGCAGTCTACTAGAGAATTCCCTTTTACTTGGAGGAGGGTTGGTCTTTTTGTTCTCTTCAGACCTTCAACTGATTGGATGAGGTCCACCACATTATGGAAGGCAATCTGCTTTACTCTATCAATTAAAATGTTAATCTCCTCCCAAACACATTTACAGAAACACCCGGAATAATGTTTGACTGAATATCTAGGGACCCCATGGCCCAGTCAAGGTTGACACATAAAATTAACCATCACAGCATCTATTGAAAATTGATCGATCTTTTTTTCCATACAGTTTGTGCTTTCCCTGGTTCTTGGCATGGCAAATGAGTTTCAGTTGAAAACTGGACACTTTTGGTACTGTGTTATGAGACCAAGGCTATAAAAGTCAAAAGGTCTAGGAGAGATGTCCTTCTTTGCATTCAGTTTTTAGATTATGCCTGAGTGCTGGCTTGTGGCTTAAACCAGGCACATGGTAAGGACTGTTCCCTGGGGACTTGTGGACTTGCTCTCCATCAGGGGGAAATGTGGCATGTGGCTCACTGCCTCTGAGCTGCTGCGAAAGCTGCTACAGACAGAAGATCAGACTTGAGCCTAGGGCCCGTGGGCTCCATTCAGGAGAAATGTCTTTGGAGCTGACTGGTATGTCCAGCAGCCTGGGAAGAATAAGGGAGTTGTCCAAGCAGAGGCTGGCATGCAGCCTTCAAGGTATCCTGGGACCCTTGGGCTCCCTGGAACTACTCCTTGGCTTTTCGGCATTGCTGGGCAGTGATCAGTAGTGCTAAGTGTCCTTGGTCTTTTGAGAGCTGCAGTTCCCGTGAAAGCTCTGTGGGGCAAAGGCAGGCAAGTCTGATGTGGGTCCTTCCCGGACTCCCCCTGTCTGGACCTCCCACCACCTGAACTCTCCCTGCCTAGGCCATGCCAGGTGTTCGAGGTAGGGCCAGGGGCACTTCTGTAGCCAGGGCTATGTGTCTTGTCCACCTGTTTCTCCTCATCTCCCCCTTGCTTCCAGACAAATGATGCAGCCGGCAACACCTGGAACTGGCTCTACTTCATCCCTCTCATCATCATCGGCTCCTTCTTCATGCTCAACCTGGTGTTGGGTGTGCTCTCAGGGTAAGAGGCCGCAATGGGCTTGGGTGCCACCTGCCCCTCCGTGTTCTCAGGCTAAGGGGACAGATGGTGGGGTCAGATATGGGCCTGTGTGACATGGGAAAGGCCTCATGGCCACCCTCTGTGGTGGTCACTCCCAGCATACTGAGCTCTGGCCAGCCTTTCCTTTGTGCTGCCATCCTGACCTCTGCCTTGACCGTCATCTGGCCCTGGCCTCCTTACGTCTGTCCCACCCTTGGCCTTCACCTGGCTCTGATGATGGGGGAGGGGCTGCTGCTGCATCTCAGCTGGGTCTGTGGTGGGGTTTCTGGGAGTGGAGAGTGATGGAGCAGCCCTGTATCCTGGCTAGAGTGGTCACCAGGCTCTCCAGCATAGCCTTGACCCCTGGCTTGCTCCTCCTCTCCAGACACCTTTCTGTGCTGAACTCCTCCAGTAGAGAGCAAGGGAGGGTGGGGCTAGGAGTCCTTCCTGAAGAAAAGTGCTTCCTGACTCCACATTGCAGTGAGATGTGGCACACGGTACCCTCCTGTGATATGGACCAATAGCTACAGAAATGCTTTGTGCTTAGGGGCACAGATGGGGCTGGTGTTTAAGGCTCCTGTCCTTCTACCAGGCTGAGGAACCTGTGTTGGGAAGGCCTGGCCTGCTCTCTGCCCCTACCTTGGTGTCATATCTCCTATAAGACTCGAGAACAACTCCTCCCTGCCCACCCTGAAGGTTCCTGCTCAGGCCCAGGGTTCCTGAGGGAGGCCGGGGGAGAGGCTGGTGGACCCAAGAGGCAGCTATCTTACTGGCCGGGAAAGGAACAGCCATTGAGAGGGCAGTGGTTAGGGGCCAAGGCCTGCGTGCTCTGGCTCTGGAATGTGTCCTTGGCCTCGGTCCTATCCTGAGGGATATGTCACTAGCATGTCTTTTCAAGCACTTGCATAGGACAGGCAAGCCCACAGCACGGGGAATGGATGTAGAACTTGTAGTCTAGTGAGGGGATTGCATGGTCGGAGCTCGACGGGGTTGGTGGGGAGGCCAGGGGAGGCCCGGAGCTCAGAGAAGCCACCTAGGGAAGGGGCATTTCCAGTGAGACCCAAAGGGGGACCAGGAATGAACTCCATGAAGGAGGGAGGAAGGTCTCCCAGGCAGAAAAGAGCTGGGGTGGAGGCCCAGAGGTACAGAGGGGTGCAGGGATGCTCAAAGCTGGAACCAGAAGGTGTGGAGGGGAGAGGGTGCTGAGCTGGCAGACGGCAGGCTTGTGTGGAGCGTGGGCTCTGTGCTGAGGACAGTGCGCAGTGGGGGCTGGTAGGAACATGAGTGGGTTCATGGTGAGTTGGGAGAGCAGCCTGCTCAGTCTGGCTTTTTGTGCAGCTTACCCTGGAGAACGTGCAGGAAGAGTTCGGGGATTGGGGCTGTGTGGCCTCTCACTGAGCAGGGCCATGAACTTTGTGACTGTGTGGCCCTTCTCCCCACTGTGAGCATCCTGGCCTCTGGGAATGGGATGATATGAGATGGTTTTCCTTATTAGTCTCAGCTGAGTCCTCTCTCAGTCATCCAGGCTAAGCAGAGGGACCCCAGGGTTCTCTTTCAGGTTCTTCTTGGAGATGGCAGCGCCCCTAAAGCCAGCAGTCAGTGCACAGCATGTGGGGCCCATGGAAGCAGTGGTTAGATGCCACTGGTACAGCCTGGCCTGGGGAAAGCTCGCCCTGCAGGGCCCAGTCCACGTCTGGGCACGTGCTGCTGGATTAGCCGGCTTGGAGCCAACCAGCCTCGCGTTCTTCTTCCCAGAGGAGCAGGATCAGTGAATCCTCTCGTGGCTTTTCTTAGCAGTTAGAACTGATGCCTGAGGAAGGCAGGCCCTACTGCTGGCTACCATCTGAGAAGTGGCTGCTGTGTGCTGGGCCTAGGTTGCTGCAGCAAGTTTTCACTGGTGGCTCTGACACTGACTCAAGCAGTGTTGTTACTGCCCTACCCCTGCACCCCAGGCCCTCCTACCTTCATCGTGGCCAAGGGAGAGGGGGGGAGGAGGAGGAGAGGACGCCGATATTCCTGCGAGTTCAGGGTTTGGGAGGGATGGGAGGTCCAGGCAGGAGCTGGCTCCTCTCATTCCCAGGATGGCCACAGCTCAGGCCCTGGTGGACACTGGCCATGAGTTTGGGTCAGTGCTGGCCAGAGCTGAGCTCTCTCTCCCGCTGTGGCTGTGTGCCAGGAGTCAGGCCTGCCAGGTTCACTGCACCAAGCTGCTTCTCTTGGAGGAGGAACAACTACTCACCTGAGACTAGACATTGCTATTTTGCTGTGTGGCTGTGCCCGCCTGCCCTTTGGGGACCTGGATCCTGCCCCAGGCCGGAGCTGAGAGGCTTGCAAGGCTGTACGCTGGGTGCCTGTGTGCCTGTGTGTGAATGGCCTCCTTCTGGTGGGGTGAGGCTGCAAGCTTGGCTGGGAGCCTGGGGCTGGGCTGCTGAGGGGTAAGGAGAGCAGAAACCTCTCTCCTGGTCATCTCAGACCTCAGAGGTTTGTCCGAGGTGGCTTGCATGGGCTGTAGAATGTTTTCCTTTTGTCTCTGGCTTGCCCTATCCGGTCCCTTCTTGCCCTGTTCCTGTCTGTCCATCCCCTCCTAGTAAGGGCTCTGGGTCTGAACCAACAGAAAAAACAAAGTGTAAGTCCTCTTGGGCAATTCTTGCCCAGGAGCTCTTCGTAGGATGGCAGGTGACAGGGCCTGGCACTCAGAGGGAGGGGTGTGCTTTGGCCTGCTCTGGGCAGGGGGTGTGGCATTGTCCCTGCCCTCTGGAGCCCCCTCTAGGGACTGCGGTGCTGTCCCTGTGTGCTGGAGGAGTCTGAGGAAGGAGGGTTCACCTGGGCCCTCCGAGGGCTCGGGTTGGAAGAGGCCGTGGTGGTGAGGCTCCCTGGGAGGGCGGCCTGTGACCTGCATGTCATGTCCCAGCCTCTTCCTGGGTCCCTTTGCCTCTGCGTCTGCACACCCATGGGGCGGGCGAATGTGCTCACACTCACCTGATCTGCTTACTTTTGTGGACCCTGCACAATGCAGAGAGTTTGCCAAGGAGCGTGAGAGGGTCGAGAACCGCCGGGCCTTCCTGAAGCTCCGCCGGCAGCAGCAGATTGAGCGGGAGCTCAATGGGTACCTGGAATGGATCTTCAAGGCTGGTGAGAACCAGGGGCTGCTGCCTTGCTCCTGGCCTGTCCTCTGTCAGTGCCGCTGGAGCCCCAGTCCTGGGCCGGACGAGACCAGCCTGGAGAGCCGAGGAGAGCTGAGGCGTTGGAAGTGGATTCTCCAGCTGGCCCGGGGTCCTGACACAGGGCAGCCATATGGCCCTGGAGACACTGGCCTTTTTAATGGAGGCTTCTGGCATGGCCTAGCCTAGAGCTAGTTTCTGCCTGTCAGACTCAAGCACCCTTCCCTTGACCTGAGTGTGTTCTGCGCCCTGGCTCTGGGCTTTGTCAAGCCTGGGGTTTCCGACTGCCTCCCTCCCTCCCCCGCCCCCGCCCCAGGCCAGCATTCTTTCCTGCATATGGGGCGCCTGCTGTGCCTCCTGAAGCGCGCCTCTTCGGCCAGGAACTCACCTAGTGGGGTGGCTGCCCTCAAGGGAGGGTGATGTGAACAGGCCAGGCCCCCCTCGTGGGGCACCGTGTGGGGGACACATAAAGGGTGTCTGTCTCAGTAGGAAAAGCTCGGCCGTGAGCCCCACGGCCTTCTGGAGTCATCAGGGTGAGAAGGCGGGTCCAGGAGCAGAGGCGCATCCTTTACTCTGCCGGGTTCCTGGGGACTGAGCCCTGGGCAGGGGCGGGGGCGGGGCAGGGAGGCTCCCAGCTGAGGCTGTGTCTCACTCGCAGAGGAAGTCATGCTGGCTGAGGAGGACAAGAATGCGGAGGAGAAGTCCCCTCTGGATGGTAGGTGACCACTGTTAGCACTCCGTGCCCGCGAGCCGCGTGCGCATGCTTGCATGTGTGGTGCCGTCTGCAGTTGTTGTGCCGGCAGCTGCACGGCCGCCACCTTCCCCGGGGTCCTGGGCGGACCCGTTCTGGAGGTCGCCGCATGCTCCCGGGCAGTTGCGTGCCGTGGACCCGAGTGGAGGTAGCTGGCGGTGGGCTTAGGTAGCACACCTGCCGAGGCATCGCCCCGGGGGCTCAGAGGAGTCTGTGCTCACGGTATGGACCCGAGAGCTGTGTTCTCCAACACGACGCTTTACATGTGACTGTGTAAGCTCATGTGTAAGTCCACTGCAGTGAAGTAAAAGTGAAAGTCCTGTTCCTCAGGCTCACCCACCACATCTCAAGCGTTCAATAGACATATGGGGCTAGAGGCTACTGTACTGGTCAGCACAGATGTAGATCGTTTCCATCATTATAGAAAGTTCTATTGGACTATGCTGCTTCTAGAAGCTTTTAAAGTTCAGGTCTAAACCAAGTTGTATCTGTGTCTAGAGCTCAGGGTGACGTGGCTCCCAGATTGCCACGGAAAGCCTCTTAGCACAGCCTGGGGCCGCTAGGGCCAGAGTGGCCATGGTTACTGGCCTGGCTGCTAGCGCAGTCCCAGTGGCAGGACAGTCGTCCTGTTTTCACACCCACTGCTGAGGAGAGGGCCAGAGAGCTTGGCTGTGTCCCCTGCGGCCTCAGCTGGACCCACATCTGGGGCTCTGTGCATGTCTGTGCTGGCCCCTCTGCAGACCTGACTGATCTCTCTGGCCCCAGAGCGGGCTGCTTGGCAGCGGGCCACGGTCCTGGCCTTGTCCTTACAGACGTCTCCTGGTCTCCCCTGGTAGCCAGGCCTTCCCCACTGACATCATCGTGGAGAAAAGGGGAAGTGGCACTCCCCTCACGATTCCTTGTCCCCTGTGCTCTGAAGACTGAGAGGGGCCCACAGGGGCCAGGATAGGAGATCCCCAGGAAGATGGTCGCAGGCTCGGCTGAGATGCACCCCCGCCCTGAGGCAGTCCCCTCCCCCTCCCCTGTTTAAAGCAGTGTTGAAGAGAGCAGCCACCAAGAAGAGCCGGAATGACCTGATCCATGCCGAGGAGGGGGAGGACCGGTTTGCAGACCTCTGTGCTGTTGGTGAGTCTCTTTGGTTCCTCCTGGCCTGTCCTGTGAGTGGGTACAGGAATTCCCCTAGCTTCCGGCCTGTCCCCTGGGCCCCCCAGCCCTCTGGGGCCACCCTCCTTCCCTTCCTTCCCTACCGCTCACACTCCTGCGTCCACCCTGATGGCAGGAGGTACAGTGCCCTCTGCCCTCTGCTGCGTGCTCAGCATTTCCACCCCCCACCCCGTGCAGGCAGTGGAGTGAGCGGTGTGTTTGCCCAGCGCTTCCTGCCCTTTCCCATCGGTGCAGCCCCGGCTGCTCTCGGCTCTACCACCCCCAACGTGGACACAGAGCCTCGGGCCGCACCCCGTAGCTGAAGGGCTACGTGTGTGTTACTGACCGTAGCGACTGAAAGGTTCTGGCCGTCTCTCTTCCCAGCCCCTGTCTGTCTTCCACGCTCCTGGGGCCTCTGGCTTCATCCCCTTCTTCTCAAATGGTAGAAGAGAGATTGTGGTTGCTTTATCACACAGCTCTTTTAGTTCCCTTCCTCAGTCTGGTACCAGAAGTGCCCAGGCCTTTTCCCACCAAATGCCCTGTTACTGTGCATTCTGCAGCAGAAGAGGGCTGAGCCAAGGGCCTCCACCTTGGTGGTTGGAGACAGGCCTGCATGGCAGTGAGCTTCTCACTGAGGCACCAAGTCAAGGGGTTGCAGGCGGACTTGGTCTCCAGCTGTCCGTGAGCAGGCCCGAGTCCGAGGTCTGCTTCTCATTATGTGGTTGCATTTATTTGCATTTATGACACAACTCTTTTTTTTTTTTTTAAATTTAAATGTGCATTTATCTTAGAGAGACATGCAGACAGAGTGAGAGCAGGGGAGGAACAGAAAAAAGGAGACACAGAATCAGAAGCAGGCTCCAGACTATGAGACAACTCTTTGATGAAAGTTACTTGTGTATTTATCTGTCAGTCAGTCTGTCTCTGTGTGTCTCTATCTATCCATCCATCAATCGATGTGTCTGTCATCTAAGTATCTATGTATCATCTGTCAGTAATCTGTGTATCTATCAATCTATCATCTGTCAATCATCTATCTATAATTCAATCAATCTAGGTATCTGTGTGTCTGTCTATCATCTATCTTGTCTGTCTTTTTTTCCCCACACAGCCCAGTAAACCCCTGTCAGTAGCTTGGGATTTATCCCTGTTCCTCCACACATATCAGATATAATACACATTTGTATCACACACACATGCATGTAGACATGCACACATACACACATGTAGAGTTTTGGGATCTATTCATGTTACAGATAGGCTTTCATACAAATTTTTCTATACCCTCTGGAGACCACTCCCCTCTGCAGTGTAGTTCTAATGCTGTCTTGTCAGTGGCTGCATGGTGTTGCACAGTATGGATTCACTCTAATTGTTCAGGGGCTCTCCGTTGACGGCCATGCATTTATTTTTAGGTTGTTTTATCTTCATCATGAGCAGCGCCACGGAACAGAACCCTATAAGCAACCGTCCTTCCTTTCCAGTGCTTCTGTCCCTGCAGGCAGATTTCTGGGAGCTGGGCACCGCGTCGCCTGCTAGACGTGCCCCCCCCCCCCCTCCAGTTACATGCCGTAGCTTCTTTCGACTTTACCTTGACGCCAAGTTGATGATGTTTCCTTGGAGCTGTCGTTCTCATTTCACTCATTACTAACGATTTTGAGCTCCTTTTAAAAAATGTTTGCTTCTGATTTGAATTTGGGTTTTGGTGAGTCTTCATATACCCGTCCATTTTTCCGTTGGGTGGTTTGTGTTTGCTAGTTAATAAGAGACTGATGTGTGTTGTGGGTCTGAGTTTTGTTACAGTTTTTACAAATTTATCACATGAATGTTGTATTTAAATAGTCCCCTTTATTCCTATTTTACTTAGAGTTTTTATTCTGATTTTTTAAAGTCTACAGTTTAAAATAATTTAAGCAACACCTAAAGTACCCGTTCTTCAAGGGTAAAGATAAAACTGTGAACCCATCTAGTAAAGAAATAAAAAGAACCAGGACCAATTTTATAAATTATGCCTTACGAGGAAATCTTACATTTTCTCAGCATTTCAAACTCGTTTCTGTAGAGTTGCCTGTAGTTTCTCTTACAGTTCTTTTCATGTCTCCTGTATTCAGCCTTTTGTTCATTCACTCAGCAGATATTTATCAAGTGCCCCTGACGTGCAAGTAACTGCTCACGGCTCCGGGGCTATAGCACTGAACAAAATGATGAGGCCCCTTCATCTTCTGCTTTTTCTAGCCCGGCTGTGGCATCAGACCACGGGCAGTAGAATAGGAAGAACACACAGCATGTCAGTGCCACCTCTGGAAAAGGAAAAAATCGAGAAGGGCGGGGGCTTGGAGGGTTCGGGGATTTTGGAGTTTTAAAGAGAAAGGCCGCAGAAGGCCTCCCTGGAAAGGTCGCTCTTGAGTAAAAGCTGAAGGAAGTGAGGAAGTCAGGCCCATGGAAGGGAACATCCAGGCAACACGTGAGAGGATCCTGAGGCCAGAAGGAGTGTGGCACTTGTGGGGACTGTCTGGGAGGCCAGTGTGGCTGGAGTGGAGCGCTGTGGGTTTCAGGGGAGCAGTGCCACAGGGTTAGGGTTAGGGTCGCAGAGGGCGGGGCCCAGCAAGGACTGTGGCTGCTGGTGGGTTTGCAGAGCAGAGTCGCTGTCCTGCTCCAGTTGGGGCGCAAGAGATCCTCAAGTACAGGAGGGCCAGATGCGGGCCCATTTAGAGGCCACTGTAGGGATCCAACCGGCAGTGGCTGCCGTGGAGGTGTGCAGTGGCCAGATTCTGGATACATTCTGAAGACAAACACACAGGATTTGCCGGCCAGCTGGATGTGGGCGTCAGAGGACTCGGGGCGCCCATGTGACTCAAGGAGGGGCGCTGGGGGCGGACTCCCAGAGTCTGGGGAGCAGCTGGAGGGCCAGTGGGGGTGTCAGGTAGCACCTGTATGTGGGGGTCTGGCGGTCAGGCGGTCGGGCGGGAGACGTCGCACAGTCGCTATGAGGGTGTTTAGGCCCTTGAAGCCGGCTTACATCCTGCTGACTCTGCTTTTGCAGGTGGTTGTTGGAACGTTTATCTTTGCCTTCTGTTTTATTAATTTGGATTGTGTGGGGTGAATATGTATTAATGATCATTTAAAATAACCCTGGTTTAGATTTCTTTTCTTCTATTTTCTTTTTGTTTTAAATGTCATTACTTTCTTTTGTATTTTTATTATCTTTGTATAGTATTTTGATTTACATATTATTGCTTTCCTAATTTCTGAAAATGTGTAACTGTTTCTTTTTCCTTTCTTCTTTACCCGCAAAGGCACTGAAGGCTGTGCCCCGCCCCTGCATACGGCTTTGCTGTGATGGCCTCCTTTTATGGGCTTTTCCATCGTGGTTTCTTTTCTTCACTCTCAAAAGGTGTCTGGGAATCTGCTTCGCTCCCCACAAATTTCTCACTCTTCTAACCCACAAACAGCCATCTCCCCTCCCCTGCTCTCATAATTAGAACCATGCTTCTTTACTATTTTAGCCTGTTTTTTATTTTTACTTATTTATTTATTTTTACCATCCTTACCACTGAGATGCATCATTTCCGTGAGGAAATTGCTGTATTTGCCACCTCTCTGCCCCTATTGGCCCCGAAGGTCAAGAAGATGTGACCTTTGCAGTGTTTTCCTCTTCTCCTTGCCAACTCCTGGTTTAGAGAACTTTGGTGTTTGTAGCCCTAGGCTGTCATTAGTCCCGTGGTCACCCCAGCTGCTTAGCACATTCCCAGAGGTGGGTTTGCTTTCAGCCGTCCTCCAGCCACTACCCCATAGACCTGTCTCTGCTTCCTCTCTGTCCTGTGCTTGGCCTGCTTCCCCGAGGCATGTGTGTGGGGGGGACCCTTGTGAGGGAGGCCTGTTTAATGGCTCCTCCTGCTGCTCTGTGGTATCGCCCTGTCCCCTTCTTTCCCTGTGCAGATGTAGCCTCGGGGGGCTGGAACTCTCGTCCTGGGTCAGAAGTTCCTTCTCTGCCCAGCACCAGGCCTGGTGGACTTTTCCGCCTGTGGGCTCAGGCCTTCCTTCACCGAGGCTTCTTCTTTCCATGTGTGCAATGACTTCGTCTCCTCGCCGTGCTCGTTTTGTGTCCCGACTCCCCGTCGTCCGTGCTCTGCCCCTCGAGGTTTCTCCCCTCGGTTAAAACCCACTTGTGCTGCACCCTCCACGCTACTCGTCTGGGCTTTAAGAGTGAACCTCCTTTCCTTTCATCTGCTGAAGGGGATTTTATTTTTTCTCCAAGAAGTTTCTCTCTTTTACTTTTATTGTGATTGGTTTGGTGCCGCACACAAGTCCTTGGGATTCTCCCGATTTCTGCTCCTGGGTGTCTTGCAGGGCCGAAGGATCACGTGCCTCAGGCCTCAGGCCTCAGGCCTCAGCAGGTTTGGGCGTGGGGCTTCACAGGGTGGAAGAAGCCATGGGTCTCCTGGTGCCCAGCACCCCCTTTGTCCTTCCCTGTGTGCTGAGGATGGCTGTGTCTTACGTGCTGGGCTTGTCACCCCTCCATCCGCTGTCACTGCTGCTGTTGACTGAGCCCAGGTGCCAGGCCCCGTGTTGTTGCCCTGACTCCTACATGGCCTGCGAGGTCCAGGTTCCCTGTTTCCTATTTTCTTTCTTTTTTTTTTTTTTTAATTTTTTTTTTTTTAACGTTTATTTATTTTTTTGAGACAGAGAGAGACAGAGCATGAACAGGGGAGGGTCAGAGAGAGGGAGACACAGAATCTGAAACAGGCTCCAGGCTCTGAGCTGTCAGCACAGAGCCCGACGCGGGGCTCGAACTCACGGACCGTGAGATCATGACCTGAGCCGAAGTCGGCCGCTTAACCGACTGAGCCACCCAGGCGCCCGCCCGCCCCCCCGCCCCCGCCGTTTCCTATTTTCCAGTGAGGACTCTCCAGGCTGTGTGGCGTGTATAAGGCCCTGTGCCTGGGGCAGGGGTGATGGGGGTTTGTGTTTTCATGGCTTGTTGTTGAACCTCACCTTCATTACCCCGTGTTGGTGAATGCAACAGCAAAGCCGTTTCTCCTGTGTCCCTTCACTGGCCTCTGGTGGGCTCACCAAGGGCGAGAACAGAGCCTAGTCATTCTGTCTTCTCTCTGCCACTCAGGGCCTGGAGCGAAAACTCTGTACATGTTTGTGGAAGGAATGGCTGTTAGGCAGGGCTGGCGTAGACTTTTTATTAACAGTGAACTCCCTTTGGGGCATGACGGGCAGACATTGTATGTGGTCACGCATTGTTCACACGAGTGCTTAACTGTGACGTCACTTGCAGGTTAATTTAATTCTCGATTTCCCCTAGCTTGACGAGATCGGATTCTTGTTCCTTGAAATAAGCCTTTTGGTTATAAAGAATATGTGTTGATGAAGCTAAACGTGGAAATGCAGAAGAGAAGCAGCCTCGTCTCTCATGCTTTTCCCCTCCCAGAGCTATGATTCTGGATTTGGCATGTGTCCGTGCTCACTGCAGACCCCTGCTTTTACCAAAGACCTGGGCTGGAGTCACTGTCCAGAGCTGACCTGAGCACACGGTGGTAGCTTCTTGCTGAGAATACTGTCTTCCGGGGCCTGTGCCCTTGTCTTCAGAGACCCAGGGCCCAGAATTCCCTGAGGCACAGCATGCCCTTTATAGTGGTGGCCTGGTTGTCCCTGTTCCCTGACCAAATGAGAGGCTGGCTGGTCTCTGTCCTGGGTGCTGCCAGGGTTCCCTAGGAACTGAAAGGCAGTCCCTCATGTCCAGAGTGCTAGGGCTTCTGCTCCCTGCCCTGTCCCTTGGACTGTGTGTTAGAGGAGGGATGGGTGGGCTTCAAGAGCCAACTGGGGATCTGTGGTTTTGTGCACACGTGGCTGTGGAAACCGCTTTGTGGGTATTCCTTTGATGAGTGAAGATGTATGTGGTTGTCTGCATGTGGGCACAGGTGCAGGATGAGGGGGGCCAGGAGTTATGACAAGGAAGCATTCCTATGAAGCTTTTGCATGGTTAAGGGCTCATTGGTTCTTGCTGGGCATGGTCCAGTGAGCCAGGAGGTGGGGGCCATGGCCCCTCCCCTGGAGAACTTGCTGCTTGTCTCACTGGCCACATGTGTGTGCACAGAGCAGTTCACACAAGTCACGCGTCCCATTACCCTCCTTCCCAGAGTTGCCCTGTGTGTGTTCATAGGAGTGTCTTCAAGAATGAGATGCTCAGGGTGTTGATGCGTGCTGTGCAGTGTGTGTGTGTGTGTGTGTGTGTGTGTGTGACTTTGCTTCTAAACGACTCAAGAAGTGGTGGGGGAATCTGCCTGTGTGGGTCTCTGGACAGTTCTGTGCGTGGCTCTGCCTGTGTGTAGGTCTCTCCATGTCTGTACTACTCTTGCCTTCCTCCCTCCGTGCCCTGTTGCTGCTTTTGAGGAAGGAGCGGGTGTGTCTGGTTGTGGCCTTGGCACTTTGCAGCCCTCAGTGAGGCTGGCCAAGAGGTTTTGTTGAATGAGCTATCTCTGACTAATTGGCAACGGCTGGTGTGTAGTGTCTGGAAATGGACTGGGAGGCTGTGTCCTGGCTTATCCAGGAGGCTGTGATAGAGCAGTGGCCTTCAATGGTCTGGGTGGGGTGTGGCATCCGGAGTGCCAAGAATTTGCCACAAGGGCCCTGTGAGGTTTCTTGAAAGGCTGGCTGATGGGTCCTGGCCTGTGGACCCTTCCATCTGAGTCTGGGGCTGCGTGTGACAGCATCTCCCATCCTGATGCCACCGCTCAGTTTGTAGACAAGTCTCCAGAGGCCTCAGGGCCTGTCTTCATTTGAGTGAATCCAAGAAAACACTAGCCTAATAATGCTGTTAGTGTGCTGCTGAGGGTCTGGGTGTGCACACACACATGCGCAAATATATAGAACATCACATGACCAACACACGCTCCATACCCTTCCCCGGGGACTCCATGCCCAAGCTGACTGGTTTTGAACAATCGGAGGCTCACACGTGCCCAGGCCCTTATTGCAAAAACTAAGAGAACCTGATGCACTGCAGAGACACAGCCAGACCCTGCACACATGCACACTCACGGCCTCTAAGCGCCCACGAAGACTGCTCACTTGCTCATCAAGGGGTGCATGGGCTTTGAGGCGAAAGCCTGTGGGCCTGTCCTCGCAGCGATTGCAGCCTGGTCTGGGAGCTGGGTGCAGAACAGGTCAATAAGCCAATACTGGGGCAGCTGGTACGCGGTTGTGATTATTGTTGGGGAGCTGATTTCAGATGGGGTGCCCAGAGAAGGGTGTTCTGTGGAGGTGACATCAAAGTCCAGACGTGGAGCCGAGAAGCAGCCAACTGTGGAAAGAGACCAGCAGTGGGAAGCATTTCATGCTTAGGTCGCGGCACAGCAGAGGTGGTGTGTGTGTGGAAATGGGGGAAAGCCATGACAGCTTTGTGTGCAAATGTTCCGGAGAGTTTGTTGGGCTTTGTGGGCCATACACACTCACTCTGCCTCTGTACCAGAACAGCAGCCGTGGACCAGACGCAAACCAAGGAGCTTGACTGTGTTCCAGGGTACTTAAAAATAGGTAACCGGTGGTTGTTGGTCCCTGAGTTGAAGCAGGAGGGAGGGCCAGATGCTGCATGGCTCCGTGAGGCCCCCGGAGGGGTTGGGATGGCCTGGGGGCATTGGGGCTGCGCTGCTGGAAGGTGGCTGAGGGGTGCTGGGGGCCATCTGGAGCCTGGTAACCATGGAGACCACCAAGGCTCTCGGTTCCCCCATCTGTGAAATGGGGGTGGGGTCCGGACCTGGTGCAGGCGGGTGCGGCGCAGGGGTAATTAGCTCAATGTCGGTAGCACACCGGGTCTGACCCATGGTGTCTGTGATCAGAACCGGGGCCTCTGGCTAGGTCTGGGCTGGGGCAGGTGTCCTTGAAGATGTTTTCCTGCGGGAGATACAAGTTTGAGATGGGAGGGGAAGCGTGTCCTCGAGGCTGCGTCCGTGGGGCACACATCCATGGAAGGAGAGCGTGTCTGGGGGTCTGGTGGTCTCTGTGTGTCCTCAGTGAGCTCCTTGTTCCCCCAGGGTCCCCCTTCGCCCGCGCCAGCCTCAAGAGCGGGAAGACAGAGAGTTCGTCATACTTCCGTAGGAAGGAGAAGATGTTCCGGTTCTTCATCCGCCGCATGGTGAAGGCACAGAGCTTCTACTGGGTGGTGCTGTGCGTGGTGGCCCTGAATACGCTGTGCGTGGCCATGGTTCACTACAACCAGCCGCAGCGGCTCACCACGGCGCTGTGTACGTAGCTGCAGCCTGGGCCTCCCCCTCACCTCTTCCCGAACCACCTCTGGTCTGCAGCCTGGAAATCCTGGTTCACGGCCTTTTGCCTTGGAATGCCCTGGGTAGGACCCCTGCACAGACCAAAGTGCCCCCAAGGGCATCTGCCGGGGCCTGAGCTCCCCATCCCAGGTTCCAGGAGGCCTAGCTCCTCTGTCAGTGTGGTGGGCAATGGTGAGGGTCCAGGGCACCCTGGGGGGAGGTCGGTGTGATGGGCGGATGGCCCTGTGTCCTCCCTTGGGAGGGCTTCAGACCCACGGAACAGGGCACTTGGCCCCTCGTTCCAATCTGGCGTGAGGCTGCAGCTCGCTCCTTGGACTCCTGAGGAGAGAGTCCGGGCTTCTAGGGCCCTTTTGGCTGTTTTCATTTTGCTTTTTGCTTTTTGCCTCTGAGTGTGTCTGTGACCAAGGCTGACTTACCTGTGGGCCTACGGACAGACCGTGAGTCTGAGTCATGACTACCTGGCCCTGGCTACTGTTCCAAGGAGTAAAGGAGGAAGGTGGCTGGGGTGGTTGAGGCCCTTTGCCCCTCTCCAGGGACCAGGGCTGACCTTCCAGGACCAACCCCTCATACCCTAGGGCTCTGCAGGCCACGGGGAGCCTAGTCTCCGTCTGTCGTCTCACCTCTCACGGGCCCTAAAGATGAAGACTCTCCAGTGGTTTCTATCTTCCGGTTAGAGCCCCCACCTTCTTGTTCCCTGGCTCCCACCCTGCCTGGTATCTGGGGCTGATCTGGACACAGGGCCTGTTTGGGGCTTCCACAAGGGCCTTGCTCTTGCCACGGGAGCCCTGTATGCCTGAAGCCACCCTGAGGTGGGGTCTTTTTCCCAGAGAAGAACCCTCCTGGATCCCTCCTGGCCCCTGGTGCAGCAGCCACATTCCCCTCTTTCAGACCACCGAGGCCGGTCAGTTTTAAGCAGGAGCTTGGGCAGTTCTGGAAGGGTTCTTACGAGCTCTAGACTCTGATGGCTCCACAGGCCACTTGAAAGTATGGGTGGGGGTGGCTGTTGGGGTGGGACACTAGGCTATAGTTTCCCAAACTTGTACTGAACTCTCCTGTTGTGTAATGGGGAAGAGCACAGAGGCAGCAGAAGCACAGGGGGCCCCGTGAGCTTCCAGCAGACAGTCTGGGCCAGGTCCCCGGGAGTGAAGTTCAGATGCAGTTTGTGGAGGCGCCTGGGCGGCCCAGTCGGTTAAGCGTCAGACTCTTGATTTTGGCTCAGGTCATGATCTCACGGTCATGAGACTGAGTCCCAAGTTGGGTTCTGTGCTACGTGTGGAGCCTGCTTAAGATTCTCTCTCTGTTCCTCTGCCCCTTTCCCTTCCTCTCTCTCTCTCTCCAAAATAAATTAAAAAAAAAAAAAAAGAAAAAAAAAGAAAAAGAAGCAGTTTGTGTGCATGGAACTGCCCGCTGTGGCCCCTAATTCATGTATCCTGGGGCCTGTAGTTTGGTGTCTTGGGACTTTGCTTGGGACTGAGGTCAGTATTGCCCTTGGTATCACCTCAGGATGAAGTTTCCTCACCCTTGGGGGTTGGGTAGGGACCCAGGGAGATGGGGCTTCCTCTTAACTTGGCCAGCAGTGCAGCTGTTCCCTGGGTCTTCTTAGCCAGGCCTTTCTTTCCCATGGAAGAAGCTGGTGGTGCCTAGTCAGTGTTGTGGGATTTGCCACCCGCGTGGGCAGGAGGCAGCCATCACGGCCTGATCGTGTATCTGCTGTGCAGGAGCACAGGGCTGAGAGTGTCCAGGTGCTGGTCCAGGCCACAGGCATCCCTGGCCGAGAATCTTCCCCCTTGCTGCTTTGCCTTCTCTGTGGCTCCCTGGGAGTTTCTGAGTCCCTTGGCTTTACCTAGGGAAAATGGCTGGCGGGAGCAGTGGGGGTATGCTAGGGTCTGCACACCTCTGCTCAGTGCCCTGCACTCTGTTCTTGGTGGCTGGGCTGGCGCTGAGGAAGGCTGACCCAGCCAGGTAGGGCAGGTCTTGCAAGAGGCAAAGCAGAGGTAGAGGGGGTCCCCACCAGGACTAGCTCCATTGAAGCTCCCTAGGGGGCTCTGGCCTGAAACGAGCTACCCTGAAGAGCGTGGGTTCTGTGCACCTTGGCTGTCGGTCCACTCAGGAGCCACCCCTGGTGTACCACCAGGACCCCCGAGACTGAGGCTTGAATGGTGAGGAGGGAAGGAGGTCCTGCCATGCTCAACTCTGTAGCTGGCTGTTGGGCTTTGTCATCCTGTGAGCCCCCTGGTCTCACAAGACCCTCTTGACCTCCCTCTCCAATGTCCCTCTGTTGTCCCAGCACACTGTCCTCTTATTATGACATAGAACACTGTTCAAATTCTCTGCCTCTGCTCCCCTTTGTGGTGTGAACTCCTGGAGAGAGGGGTTAACTCTGTCTCCACTGCAAGCTCAAAGCAGCACCAGTGCCTGTTAGTTGAATGAATGATTCTGGAGTGAACGGCTGAACACCCTTTCTTGGCCTCAGAGCAGAGGCTGAGCATATGAAGTCGGTGGGTCTGCTCCTCAGGCGAGCGAAAGGGCAAGCAGGACGTTGGGGGTTTCTGTGCCCAGTTGCTCCCTTTCTCTGAAAAAGCCTCGCCATTTGTCAGGTTCCGTGCAAGTTCCTTGCAGTGCCCTCACTTGGGTCTGCTGGGAGCAAGATCAGTGCCTGGGCAGCTGTAGCTCCAAGGTCTGTCGTGTGGGCAGCTGGAAGTCCCATCTCTGTGGCCTCTTCTTCCAGGCCCTGACCTCTTTGTGTGGGGTGCCCCAAGGGGCAGGGGCAGGGTCAGGGGCAGGGGCAGGTGCCTTTGTGACCCTTGTGGAGGGGCTCTGGGGCTCGGTGGCCTTGGATCTTTGCAGGTTGCTGTGGTATTCCGAGCTGGACTTGGGGGCAGGGTAGCTCCCGACCGCCCCTCACACCTGCAGCTCTGCACAGCCAGGACCAGGCGTCAGTCATTCAGGCCTGGCTGAGGTGGGTTCTTCTGCTTAGGTCAGCGGGCATCCACACCTGTGACACTGGCTTCTTGGCTTCTCCAGGGGGTCAGCTTTGCCTTCTCATTACTCATCCCGTGCCTGGCTGGGGTGCCTTGGGGATTTTTTGGCTGGCTTCAGAGGCCACGCTTCTTGTGGTGAGTTGCTTACAGGAGCTGATTACCCATGTACTCAAGCCATGGAAGGTGGTTCCCTACCTGAAACCTCGGGCCATGCGGGCCATGCGGGCCATTGCGTATCTCTCTACGGGCAGTGGGGCCGGTATCTCTGCTCCTCCAGAGTCTGGGCTGTTGCCCATCTGGCCCTGACTGAGGCATCTGGGGCTGTATAGTGTAGCACTTGGCAGAGAGCTGTGGAGGAGAGCAGATGCCAGTGCCCATAGGCAGGAGGTGTGTGGTCCCGTCTTCGGTTGTGTTTTATCAAGAGCTGCTTGAGGTCCAGTCTCCCAACCAGTCTGGATGCCAGAGGCCCCAGGAATGCTGGGCTGGTCACTCTCCAGTGACTGCACTTGGGGAGGAAGATCAAAGACAGTGATCTTGTTCTGCCGTCTGGAATTATTGGTTTGGCCAGTGGCAGAGCCTGGCTGGGCTGCATCTCTTGTCTGTGGCCTTGTGGAGCTTCCTGACTGCCTGTTGCTTATTGCTCTGACACTGCCTGTTGCTCAGGCTGGGTTAGGAGTTGTGTCTTGTCTGTGTGCCTGGGATTCTCAGCATGGCCCTCATTGCCAGTGTGGGCCTTAAAGGTCAGCAGAGCTGGTGGCGGGACTCCTGGGCCGGGGCGGGCCCTGCTTGCTGCTGCTGCAGTGGGGCCCAGCCTGAAGGAAGGTGCGCCACCCATGGGAGCCTCTGTGGGACTCAGAGACTGAGGGGGTGACATCCTCCAGGCCCCCAGCAAGCGTTGGTGCCTCCTGGGAGCCTCATGCTGGCCAGGCCTGGGGATGCTCAGGTGGTAGGTGAGCGCATGAACAAAGTTAAAACCAAATAAGATGACGCAGGGACCCTGAGGGAGGTGTCGGGAAAATCTTTCCGGAAAGACAGGGTGATTCTGATGAGGAGGCTGAGGGGCTCCACTGTGATTAGAACATGGGGTGGGGAGCAAGCCTGAAGGCATCCAGCTTCTCCATGGGGACCCTCTGGGGAGTACTGTGTGGCCCTAGAACTCACTCCTGAGCCCCATCCCAGGATCTCTCCTCTTGTGGAGGCTGTCTTTGTGTGCTATAGACACTGGGCACGCATCCTATTTCAAAGTGAAAGAAGCATCTCTTTGTGCCCCTTCCAATCCCAATCTATTTGTTATTCCTGTCCTGGGCTGAGATTTCTGAGCTCAGGGGCCACAGACCAGGCCTGCAGGGCTCAATCCTGGAAAGGCCCAGAGGTCTTGTCCTCCAGTCTGGGCTGGAGCCAGGTGGGAAGAGGCTGAGAGCTAATCCCCCTCTTCTCCGGCTTCTCCTAGACTTTGCAGAGTTTGTTTTCCTGGGTCTCTTCCTCACAGAGATGTCCCTGAAGATGTATGGCCTGGGGCCCAGAAGCTACTTCCGGTCCTCATTCAACTGCTTCGACTTTGGGGTGAGTAAGATCCTCACGAGAGATGCCGGCTAGGGGTCCAGGAGGGTCTAGCTGTATCCTTGCTTGAGAGTGCACACGGCCCCCTCCCACTAAGCTGTACCCAGTGTGAGCTGGGGTCTGTGCAGCAGGGCCCAGGTGGTTGAGGGTACTGTGACCCTGTGTGGGTCAAAAAGGCTTCCTATAGACGGTGAGGGGCCTTTGACAGAGGGGAGGCCTGTCCTTTTCGGGCCCTGACTTATGGGGGTTCCAGCCACAGTCTATTCCCCACCTGTACGACATCCTGCTTCCCATCCCCGACCCTGTCTGTAGGATCTTAAGATCACTGAAGGTGCTGTGACCCTCTGTGTGCCTGGTACAGCAGTCTTTTAAATGTGCTGCTGTCCCATGGAGGGCTCAGTGTCCCCAACAGAGCTCAAGGGGACTGTGATCCTGAGTCTTTACTGTCCTACAGATCTGGCTGTGGGCAGCTTGGCACATGGTTCAGGGGAGGACTGACAAGCCATGATGGTCCAGCCCTCCTCGTGGGCCCGGCCTGGGTCCCTTCACCAATCTCTGTAGGTCAGGGAAGTTTCAAAGGCAGGTGTTCCCAAGACTCACTGGGACAGAGCCCAGGAAGTGGCACAGGCCTTCCCAGGCCAGCAGAGCATGTGGACACCTCTCTGGTGCTGAGCCCAGAGCCCAGGGAGGCGTTCTGAGCCACTAGAGGTTGTCAGTGAGATGTGGCAATGCCCTCCCCGAGCGAGGCAGGCTCACTCACACCTCTGCAGAGTTCTCAGGAGCTGGCAGGGGGGGGGGGGGGGGGCCCTAAACGTAGGCAGAAGTAAAACTTCAACTTGAAAATTCAGTGTGACTTTGACTTTTTCTGTCAGTGGAGTTGATGGAACATTGTGTCCACGGCTTTGTTAAACCTTCGCAAGGACTCCCACTTTGTAGATGAGTAACTGGAGAGGTGGTGTGCTTGGCCCAAGGCTGCCCAGCTACTTTGTGCGGGAGGCAGCGTGGACCCAGGAGTTCTGGCCCTGGAGCAGCGGGTTTACACCACGCAAGGCTGCCTGATCTCTGTGGGGAAGGAGGGGTGGTGGCTGCCCAGGGCGTGCTTTGAGACATGGACACCTGCGTTTCTGAGACGCGCCTTCTTGTCCTTTGCCTTCTTAGTTACAGGGAAAGGCTGTAGTGCATAATAGGGCAGAGGAGATCCAAAGAGCTGAAGAGCTTTCAGAGAACCCTTAAACTTGTCCTTAAACTTGTAAATGTGTTTGTGTCTTCTGGTTTGAACTAACTGGGTCCCAGGACACGGAATGACTTACACATAAGCTAACAGATTATTCCAAAGTTTAGCAGCATATAGCGTGTCTGCTGGGTCACAGTTTTCCAGATCAGGAGTCCAGGTCTGGCTTGACTGACTGCCTGTGGCCCAGGGTCTCTCAAGGAGGTCACAGTCCCGCTGACAGCTGGGATGCGGTCATTTCAAGCCTGGATGAGGACTGGAGAATTTGCATTTAGGCTCATCACCTGGCTGTTGATAGGACAGGACTCGGACGACCGGCCTCCAAGCTCGCTCACATGGTTGGTGTCAGGCCTCAATCTCGGTCTCATGAATGTCTCCCGATGCTGCTTGAGTGTCCTGACGACGCGGCAGCTTGTGACCTGACAGAGAGACTGAGAGTACCCAAGACGGGAAACACAGGAACCCAGTCTCAGAGAGATGACCCATCAGTTTTGCCGTATTTTATTTGTTAGGAGTGGGTCCCTTGGCCCAGCCCACATTTAACAGGGGTGGGGGATATTACCCAGGGACGTGAAACCCAGGAGGCAAGTGTCACTGGGGGCCATCTTAGAGGCTGCCTGCCACAGTCCACCATCTGGCTCCCAGTGATTCTATCTTTCCTAGTGCAGATACAGCCACCTCCTCCTGCTTCCCCAGCCACATCCCATCATGGCGCCAGCTCAGAGTCTAGGGCCTCATCGGCCAAATCAGGCCAGGGTGGCTCCTCAAGGACAGCTGCTCGGTCCCTCTCCACCCGTGGATCTGGTGAACTAAAGAGACGGGGTATCACCCACATGGTGGTGGGATGGACTTGGGTACCTGCCGTAGACAGTCATGTTCAGAGGGGACAGCAGGGTGCACAGGGAGTCCCTGGCCCATAGCAGTTCTGGAATCCTGCTGGGAAAGTTTGGAGACACCAGGATAAGTTCTTAAGGGCTAGGAAGCCCCTTGGGCTTTTTGTTTTAGCCTCTGTGTCACCTTTCTTGTTCCAGAAAAGATAACATATGTTTTCAGCTAGACAGTTCTCTCAGCCTGCTTCCTACCAGTAGAATTTTGGGAATCCAAAGGCCTATTTTTTGTCTTGTACTGTCTCCGTTTCTTTCAACCCAAGCTGGTGATGTTCCTGCATAACTAAGTCTTCTCAGAGCATCGTGTGTATGTCATGAGTCTTCCCGGAATTCACCCCATTTGACAAAAGCTGTCCCTACGCTAGCGATCGGCCCTTCCCCACTGGGTGCCCGTGCTGAGCGGACTGAGACCGGGGCACATTTGGGCCCTGGAAGGCTTGCTGCTCAGTGGGCTGACGTGCGAGGTTCACCTCTATCTCCGTGGGGCTTCGCATGGGACTGGACGGGGCTCTCAGGCTCCCGCAGTGTCACAGTCGTGCCCCTGCCCTGGCTGTTTCTTTGCACTGTGCCGTTTCCTAATGTGGCACTATTTGCTGTCTGGAGATAGGGGAGCATTTCCAAAGCGGGCACGTCCTGGAGGACGGCACTTCCCTCTGCGTCTCTCTCTTCCCACCCTGACTGTGCAGCAAGAAGACCCCGGCAGCACCTGCAGACACCTCGGAGGCCTCCTGGTTCACATGGCTCGCTTTCGTCTCTCAACATAACCGCGGGCGACCGTGTGGCCGAACTTCCTGGCAGTGCACAGCAGGGCTCCCTGTAGTTTCTTGCCGATGTCCTCGCTGTCCCCCAGACACCTATGTGAAGCGTTCACACTCCCTCGCTGTCCAGGACCCGTGGGTAGTGTGTTGAGGGCGCTGTGGGCTCTCGCTGATGTGCTGCTCGGGGCCCATTCTCTGGCTCCAAAACCCCGCCCACATCGTAGGGCTTATTGTAGAGTGTGCTCCGCTTCTGTCTCCAAAACGCGTATTGGTTTTTCTCGGTGTGTAACAAGTCGCCCCAAAGCTTAGTGGCTTAAAACAACAAACGCTTGTTATCTCTCACCTTGGTGGGTCGGGAGTCACCGACTCCCGGTGGGTCGGGAGTCAGGTGCCACTTGACTGGGGCCCCCCGGCTGTCACTCTGCCACGAGGCTGCAGTCACCACAGGCTCTTTGGAGGCTGGGAGCTCATGCCTAAGCTCTCGCTCATGGCCTCCAGGCCTCAGTTCCTGGTCACGGGGGCCTCTCCTCATGTCCCACAACACGGCAGCTGGCTGCCCGCAGCAGAGCTGAGAGCATGGAGAAGGAAGCCAGTCTTTGGAACCGAATCTCAGAGGTGACAGCCCGTCACTTCTGTCACATTGTCTTTGCTCAAAGTGCATCACTAGGTCCAACCCACCCTTGAGGGGACAAGGATATTCAAGGTTGGGGGAGACACCAAGTAGTGGGGAATCACTGTGGGCCATCTCAGGGGCCACCTGCATCAAGAACGAATGGGAACAAATTCTGAGGGTTAAGGGAAGACAGAAGTGCTGGAAGACTGGCAATAAGAATGTAGCTTGGAAACGGTGCTCACCAGCCCCAGACAAACATCTGGAGGCTGCGTGTGTGCTGTGAAAAACTGGTAGAGGTGCTCAGGGTCGCCAGGGACAGGTGGTGGCAAGCTGGTCCCACTGTAGTGCTGCCAGCGCCACAGCAGGCCTGTAGGCGTCGGGCTCCCTGGATGTTCTCTGACCCATGTGTTTGTGTTCGACGTGAGAGAGATGCAGAGGACGGCTGTGCGTTTGGGATGGCCCACGGCTTGTGCACCTGCCAGCACAGACGTACGGGTTAGTGGACCGCGTTAAACTGTTCAGGAGTCTCCAGTCATGCCTCAGGGCCCTGGTCCTGGCACAGTCACCAGGCTCTCGGTGCCTGGGAGAACGTGGACGTCAGGCTGATCTGATGCGGAGTTGGTCAGGAAACCAGTCGGCCTGCCCTCCCTCTACACCCTGTGTCCCCCTGGTATTCACGAGGTGGGCACGTTGGGGCGCAGGTGAGCACCAGGACTGATGGGCGCAGGAGCTCAGTGTGAGGCATGTACCTTGTGCTGCGGATGCTGGGAGTGATCCCGCCGCACACACGCGGAGACGCTTGCCCGCACAGGCCCATGCGTGACACTCGCGTGCGTGTGCCTGAGGCCGACCCCGTCTGCACCACAGGTCATTGTGGGGAGCATCTTTGAAGTGGTCTGGGCCGCCATCAAGCCGGGAACCTCCTTCGGGATCAGCGTGCTGCGGGCACTCCGGTTGCTGCGGATCTTCAAAGTCACAAAGTATGTCACCTGTGTGCTCCCGGGTGGAGGTGGGGACGGGGAATGCAGGTCACGTGTGAGACTGGTCGACACAGCATGCTTGTTCCTAGGAATTCATGGTGCTGGCTTTGAACTCAGCCATCTGGAACCTCTTTTTGTGCTTATAATAATGGTTTAAATACAAAAGATGGGTATAAAACACCTCCCCAGCGTGGCTGTGTCTTGGCCCTGGGGGCCTGTCTGTCCTCAGGGTTGTTCCTGACTTGCCGGCAGGATTCCTAGTTAGCCTGCTCCTCACAGTTTCATACCGTCCCCTCTTTTGAAACCAGAGTCCCATCTTTCAACCTTCAAAGTTTACTTTGCTTCCTAGTTAAAGAGGAAAGAGAACCCATCAGATGGAAGTTTTGTTTTGTTTTGTTTTGTTTTTTATCATCCTGGCCCCAAATCTGCCCACCTTCCCTGCAGCTCCCAGAGAGGGAGGGAGGCCTTAGCTGACTTTGACCTTGCGACTTGAACCCCTGGTTCCCACACGGCTCCCGTTCCCAGGCCTGCTTTCTCTACCGTGTGCCTGACTTTGCCCTGTTTAGGCTGTGGCAAGAGGACAGTGACAGGCCTGTGTGTTCAGTTCTATTCCACTTGGTTCTTTATGTAACCCTGGACGCGACTTGCTGCATTTTGTCTCTGAGGGGGTGGGGCCCATGCGGAGGTGTGATATAGTTATCGAGTGCTGGGCCTCTGTGCCAGGGTTCTAGTGGTGGGAAGACGGGGAACACCTCACCCACAGCTGTCTTTCCAACAGCAAAGGCTGCCGTGCCCTCAGCTGGTCTTAACTGTGGCCACACAGCACAGCAGGGACCTCATCTACCCAGAGTTTCTGGACTCCTGTGCCATCAGTATGTAGCCCACACATGCTCCAGCATGGATTTCCATGCAGTGTCCCCCGCAGCCTGGGCTCTAGGTCACCCCTCCAGTGGCCTCTCAGGACCCCACTGATCTCCCCAGGGTAGATGGGAGTTCTTCTGGTCTTTTCCAGTCTGTTTCAAATCCAAACCTAAGACCATTTGAGGACACGATGGTGTCACTGCAGGAGAGTTTTGGGCAAGAGCTTGGCCTAGCTGGGTCCACAAATGCCACTGGATGCCTCGTGTGGTCTGGTGTCAGTCCTCTGTTGCTTCCATGTGCATCGCTCTGGGAGGTGACCACGAGGTCTGCCTTCATCTTGGCTGAGGGCCCTGGTGTCTTAGGGGCTCCACTTCCTTCTGGAAACCAGATGGCCCCTGTCCTGAGGTGGGCCGGCTTTTCCAGAGTCTTCCAGCCCATCTTCTGTGAACCCTTGAGTGCCCTAAAAGAGAATTCATGAAAGACAGGTGAGCCTCTGTGACATTGGCACCATTGAGGGCCCAGGGACGCCCAGGGGCAGGGTGCGCACAGATGACTGATGTCTGTCCTGCCATCCCCACCTTTCCAGGGTGGTGGAACGGCATGTGCAGAGGCACAGAGGCATGTGGCATGTCTCCAGTGGCTGGAGGCCATGTGTCCTGGCCTCTCCTGGGGAGGAGCTCTCTAGATGCTGGCGTGGGGTTGGACTCCCAGTCACTCAGTGAGTGAGCTGTCAACAGCCAGGCCACCAGCAGACTTCACTGGGGCCTGTGTGCTTGGGTCCAGTTGAATGAGAGGGACATGGTCTCTGACCTCCAGGAGCATATGAAGAGTGCGACGGAGGGGTGGGCATTGTGGGATGCCAGGAAATGGTCTCGCAGTGCTGCCCCCCTACCGCATGCTGTGTCCCAGACCCTTGGTGAGGGGGCATTGAGAGGGGCATTGGCACCGGGCTTATACCACCCATCACAGCGCTGAGGACCTGCTCGGTGCAGGCCAGGGGGCTGATTATGTTCTGGTGTGGCTCATTCTTGACTTGTGGTCTGAGCCCCCGCTCAGACACCCGGAGGCTGCCTGGGTGTTGAGGGGTGGAGAGAGGTCAGACACTGTTCTGCTGGGCAAAGTGACAAGGGCAGGTTCGAGAGATGAGAGTGAGTCCAGCACTGGACACCGGCTCTTCACCTTCCCCCTGGAGCCCCTGGTGGAGGAATCTGGAACTCCAGAGAAGAGCTCTCGCTGCCCATCCAGGTGTGGGGCCCTTGGGATTTAGAAGGTCTTGGAAGCCACAGGTGTGACAGTGAGAGTCCAGAGCGTGGCATCAGCGTGAGGGTCGGGCCTCGGCGGACATGGCCAGGTGCAGACAGACCCCATGTGCCCCGACAGGTACTGGAGCTCCCTGCGGAACCTGGTGGTGTCTCTGCTCAACTCCATGAAGTCTATCATCAGCCTCCTTTTCCTGCTGTTCCTGTTCATCGTGGTCTTTGCCCTGCTGGGCATGCAGCTGTTCGGGGGACAGTAAGTGGGTCCTAGGGGGCGTATGAGGCTGGGGGCGCCCGCTGGGGAGGCAGAGCTGAGCGCTGACGTGTTGCCCAGGCCCCTCCACCTGTCTTCCACCTGGAGGTCCCCCAGGAAGACAGTGGGTCCGAGCACATGGCGCATTCACAGCCTGGGACAGCATGGCATGCCAGAGTGCCCCTGGATCCTGATGAGGCTGCCTCCTCCCAAGACTTCTTATTTTCCTCAGGTTCAACTTTCAAGATGAGACCCCGACAACCAACTTTGACACCTTCCCCGCGGCCATCCTTACCGTCTTCCAGGTAAGGCTTCTGGTTCCCTCAGCTCTCCAGGTGCTGGGAAGGCAGCCTTCCCTGTCAGCCCCTTGCTGGTGCCTCAGCACAACCTGAACAGCCAACATTTCAGATAGAACTTTCCAGAAAATAGAAGAGAACAAGCCGGAGATGAGCATAGGGAGGTCTCCAGCGTGTAGGCCTCCAGTCCCTGGGTCCCTGCCACCAGATCTAGGAACTAGTTCTGGAGGGAAGCTGGGTGCTGTGATGCTGTCCCAACAAGCATGTGTAGGTCCCTGGGGGACCCAACTGTCTAGTGGCCATTGGACTTCAAGCCACCGACTTATGTCTCAGCACCAGGACCTGGAGTCAAGGCTGTCTTTGACCCTTTGAGAATAAAACAGCCAAGCACTACCTAAGCTTCTCCCTCCTGTATGTCAGGTCCGGTGACCCTTCAGTTCTTTTTTGTGTCTGGACAACTTGGTCACCGTGACTCCTTGAGAAGCTCAGGCTCTTGGGCCATGTCCTCTGTGATGCAAACCTTGCATCAACTCAGGTGATCTCTGCCCTCTCAGAGGGTTCCCTTTTGAAGCGTTTAGCACTTTGTCCCCTTGCAGGGCTTTGGCAGCCCTGATGCCCCTGTGGCTGTCCTCACCTGTAGGAGGATGCCAAATGTCTCTGTCATATGAACCTCCTTGGACACCATGCCTGTGATTGAGCAGGGTGGGTTGGGTTATTGTTTTGCCCATGATGACTCTTAGGGAAGCCCAAAAGGCCATGTGTGCTCAGGCCAGGGGCTCAGCTTGGACCCTTGGTCTCTGGGGCTACCCTTGGTCTCCAGATTATGGCCTCTAGCAGCAGGTGGTCATGACCTTTCCTGCACAGTGTGATCTGCTCAGTTTATAGGAAGGAGTGCCTTCCTCCTGTGCGTCACTAGGGCTGCCCAGTGGGATCTTGAAAGGCAGGCAAGGCGAATTGGCAGGAGTGTGTTCCAGACACAGTAGCAGGAAGTGGAGGCTGGGGGCAGCGAAGGCACAAGGTTTGTGGCAGAAGGACTGGGGCTGGCAGAGGCCAGGTTGGGTGGGCCTTCCTTGCCAGGCCCAGAGGCTTTGGCTAGCAGGAGGTGGCACAGGGGCTCCCAAAGCAGGGAGGTGATGTGATTGACAGGGCTCTGCTTTGTTCGGTTTATCGCAACAGAACAGAAAGGTGCCGAATGAGGCTCATGGTGCTGGTGTGGGATAGAGGGGAAGAGGAGGTCAAAGCTAGGGGAAAAGATGGCTCTGGTTTAGACCTTAGACCCCCTCTCATCTGAACACAGCAATAAGCTAATAGATACATCTAGAAATTAAAAGGACCCAGCCACGCAGAAAACAAACTGTGGGCTGGAAGTGGAACAGTGATGAGAGATGAAGAGACCCGGGCGCCCGGAATGTGGTCTGTGCGAGGCAGGCGGGCTCGGTGTCAGAAGCATCCATGTGGCACTTGGTGTGTGGCCCTTTGAGGGGCAGAGGACCAGAGCTGAGAGAGAGCAAATATGGCCAGAGGAGGCTGAGAAGATCTCAAGGGCAGACAACGGGCCAGGCCAGGCCTGTGTCTTCCATGGATGGTGCTGGACGGGGGCCTGAGACCCTAAGATGGGAGCTCCTGCTTCTGAATGGGGCTGGAGGGCAGAGGGAGAGCACATGGCCTCGTGGTGAACCTGTAGGCTGAACCCTGGTGAAGCTGACCCTACAGAAGAGGGCTGACAACATCTGTAGCCGGAAGGTGAGCTCACTGCTAACAGGACAGGAATAGCAGAAGAAATGCAGGCGACTTTGTGCCCAATGTGCTTGAGCGCTATAGAGTGTTAGAGGAAGAGCTCGTAACACATAACACAAAATTAAAACAAAAAGTACCTAAGAACCAAGAACAGGTTAATACAAAAAAAGAACTAAGCTGAAATCCTAGGAATGCAACAGATAGCTATTTAAATAAATAAATTAAAAAAAAAAAACAAACCCAAAGGTAAACTATACACTGGATATGACCCAAGAAAGGACGGGTGAGCCGGAAGATGTGGAGGAACTGAGCCAGCTGCACCATGTCGGGTGAGAGAGCCGACAGCAGTGTGGTTCCAGCCAAGTCCTAGAGCGTGTGTGTTCAGAGAGCTGAGCAGGGTGAGCGGAAGTCATGGCAAGCTTAGACATGTTGTGTTAAAGAGGAAATCTTAAAAACAACTCTAGAAAGAGATTCGCTACAGAAGAAGGACAGCCTGATGGCAGAAGGTTGGGGGAGTAACTTTGAAATACTGAGGAATAGCACCTGTCAGCCTGGAATGCCAACCCAGAGAGCCGAGGTTCAAGTGTGAGCTAGCACTGGAACGTTCAGATGCTAATACGGAGAGTCACTAACCCCCCGATTGCCGAAAGCACTGCAGACATGTATATATTTAGTAGAGCCAGTGACTTGGAAGAAAAAAAGAACATTATACTCACCAAGAAGAATTTAAAAATCTGAACTGTTTCAGAAGTTGAATAATTAAAAGCCTTCCCCCCAAGCCACCATGTTCTAATTTTGTGAGTGAATTCTACTAAATATTTAAGGAAGACATTATTCCAGTTTTATACACATGACTCCAGAGAAGATAAAAAGGAAGGCACCGAGCTCATCTTATGAGACTAGAATAACCTTGATATAAAAAACCATGACCGAATTAATGTGAATTTGCTTTATGATGAGTTACAGGCAGAGACTACAGGCAGGGGGAGTTGTCACACAAAGGAAACTTTTATTTGCGGTAAGTAAGGAGATCATGGGGAATAACTTCCAAATCCATGACCCCGCACGTGGGGTGAGTGTGTTCCTTTGATATGAATATTCAGGAAGGGGAGCTTTTGTCAACATATATAGAGGTGGGTATATGGCCACTCATGCACGCTCAGGAAACATGCCTGTACACGCATCATCTGCTATGCTAGTGAGACTTGTGCTCCACCTCGGAAGGAGATTTTCACATTAGAAAGAGGTAAAGGGATAAAGGCAACCGCCTGCCGAGGTGGGAGTTCGTGACTGAGCTCAAGCTGGTCCAGGCTGGCTGAGCTCTTCCCGTTATTTGCCTCTGAAAAGTTAAGGCTAACGTTCATGTGAAGAAGAAGGGCGGCCAGTGGGGGTCTTGCTGGTGACACAACTAGATAAGGATAATACTAAAATAAAAATATAGGTTGTGATCACAAACCCAGAGCGAGAGGGGAAACAATGACTAATCAAATCTAGATTTGCTTACAAATTATCATTATGATCAACTTGAGTTAATCCAGAAATACAAGATGACTCAACATTAGAAAGTCTATTAATGGAATTCATCATCTTTGCCGATTAAAGGAGTAAAAAACCCTGTGTGATCAGAAAAACACCTGAACCCAACAAGAGCATGGCATAGAGTGAGAGAACAGAGAAGCAAGATTGGGAGATTGGTTCACTGTTGAGACTGTGTGGATTCATCATACTCTACGTGTGTCTGAAATACACTTTTTCTAAAAAAATGGAATCACATGATAAAACCCAACATTCCTTTCAAGTAAAAACTCTTAGCAGATTATGCTGGTACCAGTGGTCGTAGTGCAGTAGAACAAGAAAGTGTGAAACAATTTCTCTGGATTGGCAAAGAAGAAAGAATGTTCACAGCTGGAATATTTATATACACAGAAAACTTGAGTGTTGTAATTGCTGACAGTATGGGACAATTTTGGTTATCCATAGAGCAAAACACACAATTGGATTCCTACGTTGCACCAGATTTGAAATCAGTTTGGATAGATTAAGACCTAAATGTGAAAAGCAAATTTGAAACTTTAGCAGTACATAGAGGAGTGTAATGGTACTAAACCCAAGGCAGGGGAAATCCTTCCTAAGATTGAAGAAGCACAGATCATAAAGGAAGAGTTTGACAAATTTCACTATTAAAATAGAAATTTCTGTGCATCAAAAGATACTGTACAAATGTTTTTTAAAAGTCATAAACTTGGGGCATCTGTGTGGCTCAGTTAGTTAAGCATCCACCTTTGGCTGGGGTCATGATCTTGCAGTTCGTAGGTTCGAGTCCTGCATTGGGCTCTGTGCTGACAGCTCAGACCCTGGAGCCTGCTTCCGATTCTGTGTCTCCCTGTCTCTCTCTCTGCCCCTCCCCTCCTGTCTCTCTCTCTCTCTCTCTCACACACACACACACACACACTCTCTCTCTCTCTCTGTACTTTCAAAAATAAATAAACATTGAAAAAAATGTCACAGTATTAGCAAATAGCCATCGAAGGATTAGTGTCCAGAATATATCAAGAACTTCCACAAATCAAAAAGAAAAGACAAATAATGTAGTGGGAAAAGCAGAGTGTAACCAAGCATCTCACAGGAGAGGATGTTGGGCTGATGAATGAGCCTGTAAGGACTATTACCAGCGTTCCTAGTAGTCAGGGAGATGCAAATTCAACCCATCTTGAGATAGCCTGCCTGTCTGTCAGTTTAGCAGAAATTAAACCCAATAATACCAGGTTTAGAGAAGATGTGGAGACATGCGGGTGACTTTATGCTGTCGCTGGGCTGATGGAACCACTTTGGAAAGTGATTTCATAAAATCTAATAACTAGAGCTTACATATGAGTAGTTCCTGTTGTGGGTCTGTGCTCTGGAAAGTCTCCCACCCAATTGCACAAGGAGACACTTGTGAGACGTTGTAGCAACATTATTTATAATAGCAAACAACTGGGAGTCGCCACAAAGTTCATCAACAGGAGAATCGATGAGAAAAGTGTGTTGTGTTATCTGTACAGCAGGAAAATGAATGACCTAGAATTAAATGTATTAACATGGATGAATCTCGCAAGTATAATATTAAGCAAAAAAGAATAAGATTCAGAATAATACACAACATATGATACTATTTAAATAAGGATGAAAACATGCCAAACAATATTGCTTATGGCATATATGCATGAAAGTATAAAAGCTTGTGTGGGAATGATAAATACCAGATTCAGGGTGTGCCATGTCGCTGGGGGCTGGGCTGGGGGAATGGGAAGGGGGAGGGGGTTCCACTCAAGGAGTGCCACCTCCCTTTGAATGCTTCAGTTCTCAGGCCGGGGAGTGGGTACACGGAGGGTTGTTAAAATTTATTCATCATACCTTTCTGAACGTTTGAAATAGTACATAAATAAAAAATAAAAGGACACAGAAAGATGAACTAAGTAGACATTAACCAAAGGAAAGCTGGTGTAATATTAACATCAGCCAGAATAGAAGTTAAGGGAAAAAAAGCCTTAGTAAAAATAAAGAAGTATATTACATAACGACGAAAAGAAGACAGCAATCCTGAATCTGCATGACCTACCAACACGGCCTAAAAATACACTGAGCAGAAACTGACAGAAGTACGTGGAAGTCCACATCTTATAAGAGGTTTATAATACATTTCTTTCAAACCATAGGATGAGGCTGACAGAAGATTAGAAACGATGCAGAAGAGCTCGTGAAAAACACGTCGGTTGACGTCTGTAGAACCCTGCACCCAGCTGCTAGATAACAAACCAGTCATTATAGAGCATTTACAGAAATTGACCACGTGTTAGGTCACCCAGGAAATTCCTACAGATACTGAAGAATTGTTATCCGACGGGGCACATTCTAGATATAATTTAAATAAATAGAAATCATTAGTAGAAAGTTATTTGACATCTTCCCCACATTTGAAAGCTGACGGACCAAGTTAAAGAAAACATCAACAATGGATGTTATGAAATACTTAGATGAACAATAATATCTAAGCTTACGGGATGAAGCTGAAGCAATACTTAGAGGAAAATGTATAATGTGAAATGCAATTATCAAAATAAAAGAGGGGCACCTGGGTGGCTCAGTTGGTTAAGCATCTGACTTCGGCTCAGGCCATGATCTCACGGTTTGTGGGTTCGAGCCCTGCATTGGGCTCTGTGCTGACAGGTCGGAGCCTGGACCCTGCTTCGGAATCTGTGCCTCCCCCTTTGTCTGTTCCTCCCCCGCTCACACTCTATCGCTCGGTCTCTCTCTCTCAAAAATAAGCATTAAAAAAACCTTTTTTTATAACAAATAAAAGAAAGAATGAAAATAAACTAAATACTCATCTTAAAAACCCAGAAAAGAGTCTCCAGTGATGGAGTCTAGAGGAGATGCACAGAAATGGCACCTTACAAGGGGAAAGAAAAGAAGGAAGATCAGGTCATCAGCCTTGGACCTCAGGTAGCTGAAGGAGAAAATGTGTGTGGTGTGTGCCACATCTTTGCTTCCTTCGATGACACTTTTGTCCGCGTCACCGGTCTTTCTGGCAAGGAAGCCATCTGCCGCGTGACTGGCGGGATGAGGGTGAAGGCAGACCAAGATGAGTCCTCTCCCTCCGCTGCCGTGTTGGCTGCCCAGGATGTAGCCCAGAGGTGTAAGGAGCTGGGCGTCACTGCTGTCCACGTCAAACTCTGCAGGAGGAACTCCTCCTCTGCAGGAGGAAATCAAACCAAGACCCTTGGACATGGGGCCCAGTCAGCCCTCAGAGCCCTTGCCCCTCAGGAATGAAGATTGGGCGGATTGAGGATGTCACCCGCATCCCCTCCTATAGCAGGTCACTGTGATTGCCGTTTGTGAACAGGATTCCTCAAATTATTGTTTTCTGTTAATAAATTGTCTTTATGCAAGCTAAAAAAAAAAAACCCTAGAAAAGAGAACAGAGTAAAACCAAAAAAAGATTGAAAGCAGGAAAAAATGGTTAATAAGCAGACGTTAGTGACACAAAACTAAAACATCGAGAAAACAAAATCATAAAAAGCTTGTTCTCAAGAAGACTAATAAAGTAGACGGCACTGTAGCAAGACTGATCAAGGAAAAAAAAACACAAATAAAAAGTATAGCCCATAAAGGAGGTGTAACTACAGGAAAGGGAGACATTTTTTTTAAATTCGGAAGAATATTAGGCAAGACATTTGAAGACTAAGATGAAACATGCAGTTTTATAGGAAAATACCAAAGATTTAAATTGGCTTAAGAAGAACTGAAAAACCTGGATAATTTTATAACCATTAAAGAAAAGGGGTCTGTAGAGCTCTTTTCCTGCCCTGAGCCTGGCAGGTTATAAGGTGAGTCCTGCCAAGTGCATAAAATTCACTTGTGTTGCTTAGCACAAGGCCAATATACAAAAATAGAGCTTTCCTATGTGATCTGATCGTTCAACTAGAAAATTTAATTAAAATGAAAGATTTCATTCACAGAGGCAACAAAAGCTGTAAGGCACCCAGAAATCTGCAAACAGAATGCAAGACTTTTATGGGTGAAATTATAACTTGTTATTAAAGGACCTACAGATCTGGTATTCAGGAAGTATATTTATAACGAGGAGGCCTTAACATGGTAAAGGTATCTGTTCTCCTAGTTCAAGCTATGAATTCAATGTAGTCCTGATGCAAATTCCAACAGGACTGTTTTTGGAATTCATCATATTGATAACGTGGAAGAGTCGATGTCCAAGAATGGCCAAGACAATTCAGGAAGGAGGGATTTGCCTCACCACATGTCAAGAGTTTTTACGAAGCGACAGTGGGGAGCATCATGAGGTACATAGGCAAAATACCAGAAGACCAGACCAGAGAACCTGGAAACATGCCCAGGTAGGAAGCCGGTCTTAGGAGGAGGACGGCGTTATACCTCAAAGGGGACAGGATATTTTAAAAAGTGGGTCTGTGAAAAGTGGCTTTCCACTGGGGAAAAATGTAGATCTTCATCCCCATGCATCCACAGAGCAGTTACCACAAACTCCAGTTGGATTAGAACCCTAACTGAAGAATCAAACTTTAAAATGACTTGAAGAAAATGTAGGAGACTCTCTTTATGGCCTTCGGATGGAGAGGAATTTCTTCAATGAGGTTCAGGAAGCAGAAAGCACGAAGGAAACGGTGACACATTTGGCTGCATTGCCCTCTGTCATAAGACAGAAAGGAACTGAGAACATTTCCAGTAGCTCCCGCAGACAGAGGGCTAGTATGTGCAAGGACACGCACGCAAGTGTCACGGTCCGTGTGGGGAAGACGGGGTGTCCAAAACCTGAGACCGCGGAGGAGGCCCCGGAAGATGACGCCTGATCAGCTCGCCCTCTCACCCCTCAGATGGGAACTGTGTCCACTACAGATGTAATTTAGAGTAAGCGATCCGGAAACCTCGTAAAGTCAGAGGCTGGCATGACCGGCTGCCTGGTGGTCCTAGTTTGCAGCGTTTACAGTGAAACTCTGTAGCAAAACACTGGAAACAGCTAAGGTGTGGTCAGGAGGCATGTGGGTGGATGCCTGAAGGGTCACAGTAGGGGACATGAATAAGTGGACATGTGTGTATCACATGGATAAACTTCAAAGATATATTGGACGGGGACAGCAAGTTGAAGAATGATGTGTGTAGTATGATACCTTCCTGTGTGTGTTTAAAACACACGTGGCACATTTTATTTATAGATACATGCATGTCACGTGGGTAGAACTCTATTGACACGGTTCCTCACCAGTTTGTGAGTGGGGTCGTCTGTCAGGAGTGATTGTGGGCAGCGATGCCAGTGGGACAGATTGAGCAGTGTCTATTTTTTTTTTTTAATTAATGTTCATTTTTTTTTTTAATTTTTTTTTCAACGTTTTTTATTTATTTTTGGGACAGAGAGAGACAGAGCATGAACGGGGGAGGGGCAGAGAGAGAGGGAGACACAGAATCGGAAGCAGGCTCCAGGCTCCGAGCCATCAGCCCAGAGCCCGACGCGGGGCTCGAACTCCCGGACCGCGAGACCGTGACCTGGCTGAAGTCGGAAGCTTAACCGACTGCGCCACCCAGGCGCCCCTAATGTTCATTTTTGACAGAGAGAGGGACAGAGTGTGAGCAGGGGAGGGGCAGAGAGAGGGGGAGACACAGAATCCAAAGCAGGCTCCAGGCTCTGAGCCGTCAGCACAGAACCCGACGCGGGGCTCCAACTCACAACCTGTGAGATCATGACCTGAGCTGGAGTCAGACACTCAACCGACTGAGACCCCCAGGTGCTCCCAGCAGTGTCCATTTTTATTGGTGGACACATGAATGTCTGTTACTTGATGCTTTTGTACTTTTCCAAAAATATAGCAGCTGAGAGACACATGTTTCTTGATGGGGCAACATCGCATTTAGCTACCCTCACCGCTGGACGCACTGTCACATCATCTATAAAATCATGGCCTCCGTGGCTCTGGGAGTGGGGAGCTCTGCCTCTTCGGCCCTGCCTCAGTTCCCCAGCTTATACTATTGTTCTCTTCCTTGCCTTCGCTCGCCTTTTCCTTCTGCTTGCCACCCCCTTTCTGTTTTTGGAAATGCTAGAGCATATTCATCTTTTGAGGCCTGACCTAGCTCAGCAGCCATGTCTTTCTGGAAGTTTTTCTGGAGGACCGTGGGCCACCTTGACCTACAGAAACCCCATCATCCAGAAACCTGTGCGTGTGCGTGTGTACACAGCCATGTCTTGACTCTGAGTGTGCGCACAGACGTGTGGCCGTGTAGGCATGCCTTGTGGTACTATCCCTCCACAGATCCTAACAGGAGAGGACTGGAATGCAGTGATGTATCATGGGATCGAATCGCAAGGTGGAGTCAGCAAAGGCATGTTCTCCTCTTTTTATTTCATTGTCCTGACGCTGTTTGGAAATTGTATCCTTCTTGCAGTGCATTAGGGCTTGGTCTGGGCCCAGGAAACCTGGGGGGGGGGGTGCAGGGTGTGTTGGCCATGAAAAGGAGAGGCGCCTTCTCGTTGAGTGTGAGTGATGGAGCTTCTCCTTCTGGGGAGCTGGCTTAAGTCTAGACAGTGAATACTCTCGAGGCAGTCTGAGCTTGGGGGATCTGGAGGCTGTGGGCCAAGGTTGATGGAAGCATGAACTGTGCGTATGGTGTCCAGAGGGCGTTGGTATGGTCAGTGGTAGGCTCGGGAGGGTTGCCGTGGGAAGACGTGGGCTTTGAACACAGGGCAGTAGTTCCCCCCCCCCCCCCCCCGCTTTAATTCTGTAATTAAGTTTTGGTACTGGGCTTTTAAAAAACTTTCCCCTGCTGAAAATCTAGTACCTGCAGAGAAATGTAAGGCAAGTTTTCCTGTAGCGGGTGCCACTCAAGCATGTGTTTTAGGACCTCGTGTGTGTGTGTGTGGGGGGGGGGGTCTGTGGGGTCACGGAGAGCCCAGCGCAGGTGACAGCTCTGCCTCAGGCAGGTCACCTGGGAGAAGGAGGCTGCTGGGCTCATGATGCAGGCAGGGGGCAGGGCCAGGAGAGGCGAGGTGCGAATGTGGCCCCACTGCTGGGGCAATAAATTCAGGCTGAGCAGGGGCACTCAGGTTCTCCAAGTCTTCTGTGTATCAGAAACCCCAAGGACAGTTAAAGCTCAGGTTCCAGACCACAAATGTGCATTTTAACACACTCCCCTGGGGTGCTGGTGTTGGTACTGCAGCCTGGGGACCCCACTTGGAGATCTGCTGTATTAAATATCCTGCAGAGCCTGGAAAAAGATCTGAGCTGGCGACAAACACCTGTGTGTTGTCTCCTCCCAGACTGACCTGCTGGCTCTGCCTTGTCTCCTCACCCGCACACCTGGGCACTTGACCCCGTTTGTCCCTCCTTGCCCCTGGCGTGCTGGCCGTCACGCCAGCCTGTGACCTATGACATTCCAGACCTTATTTGTCTCTGCCTCCATCGGACTGTCTCTCCTGCTGCACACCCAGCAGGATTGTACCACCTGTCAGCCCTGTGTCATTCACGGCTCAGGTCCTGGACCCCAGGGTGGGGAGCCCCGCCCCGCCCCACCCCGCCCCCACGGGAGCCTGAGCACAAGGCCTGGGAAGGAGGATCCAGGGTGCCCAGGAGGGCCCGTGCTTGTTGCAGTGTTTAGCAGACGGGGGGGCCTGGGGGCTGGCTGAGAGGAGAGCTGTAAATGGCAACCATGGTTATCAGAGAGGGAAGGAGCCTGAAGTGTTGGCTTCAAATGGTGGGGGGTGAGGGTGGGGGTGGGGAATAACTTCTGTCCAGAAAGAGGTGCCCACAGCCCCTAAGACTGAGCAGCGGCCTGAAGCCCTTCACGGCTAATTCTGACCCTGTGCGGTCAGGCCTCGTGCTAGCCACTGGGAATCTTTCCTGCTGCCCCTGTGTGCCCCTCTTGCTGGGCCTCAGGTGCCAGGGCATGACCTTAGTCCCGCTCTTCAGGTGTGGGAAGTCCTCTGAGAGTGTCCGTGGCTGTGGTTCGTGTGGGGAAGCGGCCCCTGGCCTCGGTGTCCTGTCCTCTGGTCTCCGCTGGAGCCCTGAGCAGCCTTGCCAACGAGGCAGTGCCCTGGCATATGGGGGGCCTCCCTGCCAGACTGGGGCCTGACCAGCATCAGTCGTCGCTGTCGGCCTCATACAAAGCCGGCTGCTCCTCAGGCCTCGCACTGGCGGGAATAGCCGCAGCCTGGGCCGAGGGGTGAATCCCCAGGCCTGTGGTGAAAGAGCTCAGGTGTAGGGGACACAGGGCTCTGGCTGGGGTGACTTCGCCCCCAGAGGACACTGGCAGTGACTGAGATGGTTTGGTTGTCATGACTGGGCTGAGGGGCTGCTGCATCTGGTGCACACAGGCCAGGGATGCTGTTCAACATCCCACCGCAAAGGGTTGCCTGGCTCCAAACGTCAGCAGTGCCGGGGAATGAAATTAACTGGGGACGGCAGCGGGGGAAGGCCCAGGGAGGGCCTGAGGCACAGCACGGAGTGCAGGCAGGGGATGGTTCTGGGGCGGCGCTGCTCTGAGGTGCACAGGGAGGAGCTTGTGGGAAGAGGCAGCTCCAGCCCCAGGAAAATTGAAGTGACTCACGTTAGTGGCCTGATCTGGACAGACTGGAGGAGGGCGGTGCAGAGAGGTAGCTGCCGACCACAGGCCCCCGTCTGGGCCATTTGGACCGACCCCTCCTGACTGTGGGATCCTGGGTGGGGTACTTACCCTCTGTGGCCTTTGCTTGCTCGTTTCTAAAAGGGGATTGTAGTAGTGCCTTGTCATGGTGCTCCTGGAAGGGCTCAGTGAGGTGAGGGGTGGGGGGTGCTAGCGTTGTCTGCCATCAGCATGACTTGGGTGTTGTTTTTGCCACTCTAGCAGGAGGGCACCTTGAAACAGAGGGCCCCAGGACCTCACTTTGAAAAAGGAAGGGAGAAAACACTGAGCTGGTGTCCTAAGCCTAGCCTAGGAACTGAAAGCGCTGGTCACGGCCGGATATGCATGTTTAGGGTCTGTCTTAGGTGGTCTCTGCTCACAGGACCCAAAGGTGATGGGGCCCATGTGAAAGCAGGAGGTGTTGGTTGGGAGGCCTCTCACATTGGCCAGACATTTGGGGGAGGTGGGGATAGAGGTAGGCAGTCCGAATTAATCCAACACAGCCTCTGAGCTTTGGGGCTGGAGAGTCAGGCCTGAAGAATGGGGTTGGGGAAGGGGTTTGTGTGGCCATTATGGGGAGTTGATACGAGACTGAGGGAAAGAAGCATGGGCACACCAGGCGGCGTGGCTAGTCTGTGTCTGAGGGCAACAGGGGACAGAGGAACAAGGGGACTTGAGAGGTATATAGTCACAGAGGATCTGGGGAGATGAGGAACCCTGTTCTCCATGGGGCAAGCTGCAGCATGACTGTGGGAGACTTGGGTGGGTGGGTGGGGGTGCAGAAGGGTTCCTTTCCTTAGCTGGAGCCAACCAGACACTCTGCTGAATGTCTTCCTGGCCATCGCCGTGGACAACCTCGCCAACGCTCAGGAGCTGACCAAGGTGCGTGGGTAGGGGCACCGCCTGCAGCCCAGGACGGGCAGGGAGGGGCAGGCGGGGCAGTGTGTGTGACTCTGGATGAGTCCAGAGAGCCATGACAAGGGCCAGTCCAGGGTTAAGGACCCATGTAACCACCCTCCACGGGCATCTCCTCAAGGTCCTAGACGGGCAGAAGTTAGGCTGCCACTCAGATGTGTGTGTGTGTGTGTGGGGGGGGGGGGGTTGGTGCTGAGGAAGCGTGAGAGATGATGTGCCAGGAAGGCAGATGAGCACGAGGGCAGCTTCTGGAGAATCCGAGACCTGGAAAAAATGGCCGGAAAGGCAGGGGGAGTTATGAAGAATGGAAGCTGCAGCCCAGAGGGTTCTAAGAAGTGAGGGGCAGGCTGCACCAGGCCCCCGCGCTCGTCCCTGGGAGGCGAGGGGCCCCTGTGGCCAGTCTGGAGTGTGCATGGTTGAGCTCAGGCAGTTACCGTGCAGCTCTGCGCTGTCCTCGGATGCCAGGCCTGGCTGGAGCCTGGAGGAGCAGCTGCTGCCCCCTTGTCAGCCTGTTTGTGCCGCAGCGGGACAGCCTCTTCTCCTGGCTGTGCCTAGCGGGTGGCATCTCATACTCTCCTCTTGTCCCTGAGCCTGGTGGGGGGTGTGATTATACACGGCTTCCCCTGTGGTTGCCTTCCCAACGACACAGCCCCCTGCCTGGTCACCTTCACCCTCACAGCCGTGGACAGTGCAGCCCTGGCTCCCAGGAGGAGGGTCCTGCTGCCTCGCTGGGCCACCTGAGGGGAGTGCTCCCCTGCTGCCGAGACCCCACGTGCTTGCCATCTTGGCTGAGCATGTGGCCTGCTTGTGCACCTGTCCATGTACACGTGTGTGTGCTGGAGCTCACACCTGTGCACATTCCTCTGTGTGTCTGACACAGTCCTGCCCTCACCATCTAGCACATCCCGACTGTCAACATCATCTCTGTTCCGGGGTGAGCTTGACTTGGGCTTTCCCTGAGGAGGGCAAGTTCAGGACGTTTCTGCAGTCATCATGGGTGTGTGCAAATATGCCACAGTGCTTCCGACAGGTGTCAGGTGCCCTGCTACCCTCCTCTGTTCTCTGGGAGGAGTGCTCCAGGGGGAGGCAGGCCTATTCAGTGTGTCTGCCTTAGCTTCTGCTCAGACTTCCTCTTCTCCGGGCCCAGGCCTGGGCCGTGGTGGTGCCTGGGGGTGTAGACGCCTACCCTGCTCTGGCTGCTGCCCCCTGAGGACCTGGAAGTCCCACTGGCCTGCTCATTCCTGTTGTCCGCCAGGGCCAACACTGGGCTTTGCCATCTAGGAGGGGCCGGAGAATGACTCTTCCTGGCCCCAGGCTGGGCTTCCGGGCGGTGGGGTCAGGGGGATCCCCTGCATCCACAGAACATATCTTGGTGTCAGGATTTCTGGGACCACATGAAATGGGGGTGCCCAGCAGCGTTGGTGGTCTGGGCACCAGCTGTGTTAGTGCAGGGGTGAGCTTGAGCTTGAAGTTCTCGCCGTCTCTTCGGGTCGTGCTGTGGGTGAGAACACACCAAGGAGGCGATGTCCTCGGGGCCCTGTCTCCATGCAGAGACACCCTGTGAGATGTTGGACCAACTGCCCTTATTCAGGAATCGTCTTTCCCTGGGAGGTGGAGCAGGTGGAGGCCTGTGTTAGGCTGTGGGGGCATTTCCTGGACTGGCTCTCCTTCCTTTACATTCCCACAAATGTATTACAGTATTACATTCTTTTCAAAGTGGAAATAAACTCTATGAAGTCTGTTTGTAGAACACCTGTCCTCTCTGCCCAGAGGGCTGTAAACCAGGATGGAGCCCGCGGCTTGAAGAAGGACCTCGATAGGGGTGTTCTGTGGTAGATGGAGCTTCGCCTCCTCTCTGGGGCCTGAAGCTTGAAGACCTCTTCGCTGTGGTGGGAAATCTGCAGGCAGCTAACAGGGGTTTTAATTTTTGCCATTTTGGGGCCTCTAGGATAAGATTTAGGGATGTTTTGGGCCACAGTGGGAACACTAGCTTCCATGGAAGCCAGGTGGGCCTGGGGTTGGGTTTGGGGGAAGTAACAGTGGTCTCAGCAGTGTAAGTGGAGGACGTGGAGGCCTCGGTTTCCCTCCACGGGCTCATGGGCTCAGCCCGGAGCTTTTCATCTAGATCCTAGAAGCAGAGCATGTTGGTTTTGCCCAGTGACATGGGGTCGGGGCCAGAGGGTCTGCCCAGAAGTCCACTCCCCTTCCCACGGAGGGGGGCAGAGGCAGGGCAGGATATCTACACCTGTGTCAGAGAGCCATGGGGGTCCTTCCCACAAACTTGGTGGGGGAGGGGATACCATCAGGCATTGTAAGTGGCTGCCATGTGTTGGGGGACACAAGGAGGGACTTCCCACAGCCACGGCTAGGGACAGGTAGACAGATGTGATCCGACGGGTCCTGGCAGGAAAGCTCAGAGGCTGTGAGGTAGCTATGCCTGACCCTCGCCCGGTGACAGTTCCTGTGGGTGATGCTGAGCCAGGACCTAGGCTCAGGGTGCAGAGTCCTGCCCCTTGACCTTGCCCACAGTTGTGGGGCAGAGGCTGGCTTTGTTCAGGCGAGACAGGTGCCCCTGAGGTGTGGGGGCAGCAGGTGGGAGGAAAGGAGGGCTGGGCTTGCGTTTTGGCAGAGCCAAGTCTAAGACACCGTGGGACACGTGTGCAGGCAGCAGCTGGGTCCTTGTGGCTTGAGCTCGTGTATGGCGTCGGGGTGCAGGCGCAGGGCTGGGATCACCAGCTGTGAGCACCCTGGGACTGGCCCACGGCAAGGGGGTGCTGAGGCAGGAATCCTGTGGAACACGGCCCGGAGCAGCAGGTACAGGCCGCCAGAGGGCTTGCGTGGGATTGGTGCTCGCTGCTGGAGCCTGGATGGATTGTGCTCACGCAGGGGCTGCTGCCTGGCCCACCAGTTCAGAGGGCAGCAAGGACTCCTAGACCACGGAAGGAAGAGCTCCAAGGCCAGCTGCACACCTCTGTCTGTTCAAACAGGATGAAGAGGAGATGGAAGAAGCAGCCAATCAGAAGCTTGCTCTGCAAAAGGCCAAAGAAGTGGCTGAAGTGAGCCCCATGTCTGCCGCAAACATCTCTATTGCTGCTGCGTAAGGCTCTTGGGGGTGGACTGCAGGGTGGTGGGGGCTGCTGCAGAGTCTCTTGGCTGGGCCCCCAGCAGGGCACTCCTTCCAGGGGCTTCCTTGGAGCACCTTGTGTTGGCTGGAGCTTTTTGGGACACAGCCTCCCCCAGGAGCTGTGATGAGAGGGAACGGCTCCCCTCCTGCAGGAATCTGTGAGCAGAGGGTTCATCAGGAAGAGCCTCCATGGCTTCTCCCAGTTTGAGTTGGAGGAAGGTGTGACGATGCATGGTCCTCCCATCATGGGTGGGATCGGCTCTGATTAGCCCCTTGAGAGTCTTGGGTGGCTCCAGAGCTCCTAGCTGGGGCAAAGACTGTGAGTCAGGGGTAAGGTATTGATATATCTATTTTATAATTTTCTTAAAGTTTGTTCATTTAGAGAGAGAGAGAGAGAGAGAGAGAGAGAGAGAGAGAGAGAGAGCAGGGAGGGAGAGAGAATCCCAACCAGGCTCCGTGAACTCATGAACCGTGAGATCACGACCTGAGCTGAAACTGAGTCAGATGTTTAACCAACTGAGCCACCCAGTCGCCCCTCCATACGTCTGTTTTCTGCACAGCCTTTTAGGAATGTATTTTGTGAACCGAAAGACTCTAGGTGGTATTTCAGCAGCCCAAGAGACTTAATGCAGTTTCCTAAATTGTCTTTGAGGTTTCTGTGTTGGGACAGAGGTCAAGGGGAAGCCTTGCTGATGAGAAAAGGTGAAGGCGGGGTTGAAGCTTCCTTGGGGAGGCTGGTCATCCCGAGGTTCAGCTGAGCTTGAAGGAACATTGCAGAACCACATCTGGAGGTCTTAGGGCCTTCAGAGTTGGGACAGCCTAGGGCCAAAGGCTGCAGCGTGCTGAGGGAGGTCACCGCCGGGGGAAGAGAGGGATGGGAAGGGGGAAGGAAGGTCTGGCCTGCTGTCAGCGTGGCCATGAGAGAGCACAGAGAAGCTCTGTCTTTGTGGGGAGCTCGCTCTCTGAGCCAGGCTGAGTCTGTCTGGAGCTGCTGGCTTGTCTTCAGTGCCACCCTACCCCACCCTACCAAACACCTCCCATTTCCCATGTGGACCCACCTGGTGGGCACCAGGAACAGCCACAGGTACATCTGTGGTGACACATGCATTTGGGCTGCTGAGTGTATGTGCCGGCATGTGGATATGTTTGCTGGGAGTGTGGGTGTGCAGGTGTGCGGGAACGCGTGTGTCTGCTTGTGCGTGAGTGTGTATCATAGCAGCCCCGTTCTTGTTCAGCAGTCCCAAGAGTGACGACCTGTTTTCTAGGAAGGCCTTTGCAGAGGACCTGCCCCTAAGCCAAGCAGGAAGCACTGGCCTCTGGGGGAGAAGAAGCCAGAGGAGATCACAGGCCCCTGGGGGGCCCAGGCAGGGGTGCAGGGGGCCTGCGGGGAGCCAGGCAAGACACAGCAGTTATTTCTCAGACAGCTGCTGGGGTGCTCAGGGTTTAGTTGCCTCTGTTTTGTTGTTTGGCTGGTTCAGTGACTTGGTCGGCTTGGTCCTGGGCTTGCTTTGAGGAGGTTGTGGTGACCTGGCAGACGGCCCCTTCTCCTGAGCTTTGTAAACTACTGGTGGTCTGCCTTAGCAAGGGCGGCAGATGAGCCTTTGACTTCTTCATGGGCCTTGTGGGTTTCAGTTCAGCGTTCGCCCTCTCTGCTGGCTCTGGAGGTGAGTGCGCTGTCCCGTGGGCCTGATGCCTGTCAGAGCTGCCTCTTCCCTGGGGGCATGTGACTGGGCACCCGTTCCCACCAGGGCCGAGATCTCAGAGAGGCAAGTGCCGGGGCCCTCAGCACCACCACACAGAGCATGTCAGGCCACCAAGAAAGGTCTGGATGCTCTTCCTCTGCCCCTGTCCTCATCTGGGGATACTGCTATGTAAGAACAAGGCTGCAGACTGGTAACCCCGGGCCGGGGTGTAACACCGGCTGCTGGCCCCATCTCCACTGTGGTGCTTCTTTTTTCTCCTGGGCGGGGTTCCTGGGGTTGCACAGGTATTCTGCCTCACAGCAGGTCCTGAGCTCCGTGTCAGCTTGTCAGCCAGGCACGTGTGTCCCCCTGCTTGGGCTGTAGGTCCCGCGGGTTCTCCTGGGATGTGGCTTTGGCTTGCTGTCCTCTGCAGCATGTCCTGGTCTGCTGTTGCTGGACACGGCGGTCAGTCTGACGTGATCACTGAAGATCCCACACACTGGGCGGGGTCTGAACTCCCGGGTGTGTGAATGTCTGCTCTCCTCTTTGTGTGGAGACCACTGAGCCCTGGAAGCTGTGGCTCAGAGCCCCGGTGTCTGTCTGTCCTCTGTCCGCTGGCCCCCCTCCCAACTGTTTCTGTTCTCCTGGTGAGTTGTGTTGGGTAGACGGGCAATGCCTGCTTCTTCCCCACCGCTGGGGTGGGGTTAGAGTGAAGCGCCCGAGTGACACTCGCCGTGACACTCCCTGCAGCCGTGCCGTGTGGTCTGTGCAGGGGGAGGACTGGTCCAGATGTTCTCTGTGACGCCTCGATGCTGGGTGGCCCTTCATGTCCTTGGTGTTTGAGAGGCTCTCCTGGGCCTTGTGCAGCCTCACACAGAGCCTGAGGGGAGAGGGTTCCACGCCTCCTCAGAGGGGCGTCCCTGTCCCTTGGAGTTGGGCTACAGCCCCAGGTGACAGCCACTTCAGGCCCCTGGGAGGGAAGGGACGGTAAGGGTGACATGGCCCTCCTGGTTCTCTGTACTTTGTCACCCTTCTCCTCACCTGGACTTCTGAATGCTGGTATACACACTCACTCACACAGTTCACTTACCTCATCGGGGTCACAGCCCCCTGACGCTCACTGTCATGCCTGTTCGTGCTCATACGTGTTCATACTCACCTGGTTGGTCACTCACACGTGTTCACACTCACATACGCACACATGCTCACTCATAACCCCACACTCATTCACACACTCTCGTATACTCACACACCATCCACGCACTCACGTTCAGTCATACACTGATTTGCACACTCACACACACACGTTTGCACCCAGGACCTGCAGGCGAGTGAGTTGCTCTGGGCTCCTCACAAATGTGTGTAGACTCGGCCTTGAGAAGGAGTTGCTGGGAAGCCACCTGGGGAACTGCCTTAAAGGGGAATGATTGTGGAGATCTTTGGTTTCTCTCTGTTGGTTTTGGAAAAGCTTCCAGAAAGTCCCTGGGAAATGGCTGGAGCTATACCCAAAGGAAGTGGGTTGGTCATGTAGCCTGTTAGCCCCTGGGAAGGGTCGTGGTGAGCTGGAGGCATGTAGTTTAGAGCCTGGGGAGCCGATGGGGTCAGGTGGGCTGGGACAGAGCCAGCTGGTCAGGCAGCAGGGCCCAGGTGAAGCGGCAAGGGGCCGGTGTCCCGTGCTGGCTGGCTTTGCTCCCATCTTGAAGGCAAGGCGAATGCCTAGGTCATCCCACCGCAGCCCCGTGGGCGTGGGACACCAAGAGGCAGGGGAGGGCCATTTGGAACTTTGGACAAGTGGTGCTGGCTCTCTCCAAGCCGGCTGCCCTTCTAGGGGCCTAGTGTGCTGGGCCGTAGCGGATGGGCAGCAGGACCCCGGCTTCTCTTCTTCCAGCCGTGGTGGGTGTGCTGTGTTCTTTTTTAGCGCCACTTTTCTGCCGGACGCTCTTTCTTTCTCAACTTCTCTTTTCCCCCGAGGTCTCGGCCGGTGCCCATTCTGATGGAAGCGTCCCTGGCCTCCTGCCCAGATTTACACTGCAGCCTGCGCCCTGACCTGACGTGGCTTAAACATGTTCTTGTCCTTTAGAGCCCTCTCTGGTTTTCTCACTTTTGTTTGTTTTGTCTTTTGCATGTGCAGTTTTGTAAAGCACACGCGAGGTGCTGCATCTCACAGCTCATCTGTCTCCAGCATAAACTCACCGTGAGTCGCTCTGCTACGATCCCCGTCTGTGGCTTCGTGACAGCTACATGCGAACACCTCCCTCCACCCCTAACTGCTTTTCCACCTCAAATCACTTGCTTCAGGGGCAGCTCCGGGAAAGCCTTCTGCAGCTGGCGGGGGACAGTGGGCATGCTTCCCGACGTCCCTGAGTCCTGTTCACGGGCATCAGCCTCTCTGAGCTCGGCCCCTCTCCTCTCCCTCCTGGTCGTCTTGTCTGCTGTCTGTCCATGTGCTGTCTCTCTGGTGTCTTCAGCACCTTCGCTTCTCCTGAGGTGACCACCGCTGGGCACCAGTGGGTGCTGTCTCCTTACGGTTCCCGTGACGGAGAGCGTTCATTAGGACTCACAGAGGACATTCACGGGGTCCTCCTTACCCACTCCTTTTTCACTTGGGAGGGGGTGTACCTATGACCTTTAGGAAGCTGTGCCAGCAAGATCAGAGCTGCTGTCTCATGTTAGATCAGCCAGAGCCCGAGATAGAGCCATAGAAACCTCAGTGTGGCCCGCCTGGAGGTGACGCCAGTCTGGCGGGAGAAGTTGTCCTGGGAGGCTTGCCCCCAGGGGCTTCCTCCCAAGGGTCAGACCAACCCCTGCAGGTGAGAAGTCCCCGGAGTGCCTGGGTGTAGTCAGTAGGTAGCCGGGTGCCTGCTTTGTGTTCTGGTGCTGTGGGAGCCCTTGCTGTCACTGAGACACCTGCCCCCTACTCAGCCAGCACAGAGCCAGGTTCAGCTTGCCCGCAAGCACTTGGAGCTGCTGGCTGTTGGGGCCTGATGTCTTACAGGGTAAGAAAGCTGGATCCTGGATGAGTGATTCACAGGGTGGAGTAAAATGTGCACATAGGTATTGACGGTGTCACAGTCGGGGCTGCTTCACGTTATCAGCGGCTGTGGGTAACTGGCTCTCTCAGCCCAGAGACTTCAAAGCAGGGCCATACCAGTGAGGCTTCTTTTGGGGTCCTACAGGCGTCTGCAGTGCCTGGGTCAGGTGTGGCTGAATAGGGCTACCAGCAAGCTGGGGTCGAGACATCACGGGAGCAGCTCCCCCATGTGACTCCTCAAAGAGCCTTTTTAGACGAGAGCTTTGCCTGGATCATTGTCACCTGTGTGTCAGACGGTTGGCCTGGCTCTTGCTCTCATGTTCTTGCTACTTGCGAAGTCGGTGGGGAGGTGCAGAGACCAGTGGTGGCCAGACTGAGCAAGGACAGGGCAGCAGCCAGGTGGGTGCTGGCTGACTCAGACAGCAACAGGGAGGAGAGGCCTGGCACGCAGACTCAGAGACACATCCAGAGAGGAAGTCAGCAGCATCACTGGTAGGTGGTTGCAGACAGTTTCAGGCGGCACTAGGGCCCAGAGAGGCAGAGAGACCCAGCAGGAGCAGGGCCCCAGAGGGGCCACGTGGCACAAGTGTTCAGTGTCTTGCTCCCCTGGGAAGGTATGAGAGGAGAGGAGTCTGCCAGCCCCGTGGCACCCTCCAGTCTCGCGGGTTAGCTGGTTGCTGGCAGAGGAGGAGCTGCAGCCCAGGGTGGGCCTGAGGGCACAGCCATGTCATCACCAGCTCATCCTCACCGGAGCTCCCGGCCACTCCGAGTCGGAACATTGTTCCCACTGTCTCTACTGCCTGTCTGTTCTGACAGAACTCACCTCCCCGCCCCTCACCGTCTTGGGCTGTGTCTAACACTAACCCTGCTGCTGCTGTGCTGTCGGCCCTCGTGGGCTCTTATGTCTGAGGAGTGGCCCTCAAGGCTGTCATCCCTTTCACGTGGTTCAGCATTGTTCAGAGTTGGGTCCTTTGTTTCGGTGCCAGCCTGGGATGGGGTAGGTCCCCGGTGGCTTTAGCCTGAAGCCAGAGAAACAGAGGGTGGTCGTGTTGCAAGGCGTCCCCAGGAGTAGGGCTGCATGGCTTTGGTGTGTCAGAGGAGGCAGCTCAGGGCCTGGGGTGGCAGTTGAAGCTGTGGGGTAGCAGATGGCCAGAGAGGCTAACAGTTGTCCACCCTGTGTTGCCCTGGCCTGTCTGCCACATGGGCTCCCGGGTGAGGCACAGACGGTGTACTCTTCTGCCTTCACACTTTTGAGGCCCTGCCCTGGAAATGGCTCCCCACACTGGAGCCCGGACCTCACTTCAAAGGGACAGGGTTAAGCACCATATGCTTTGTGCAGGCCAGCTGCAGGGACTGGGCTTCCCCCACCCGGCCACCTCTGTCTTTGCAGGTCAGCATGGTGCTCAGTGGCCCAGGGCCCTGGAGCTGGTGGCAGGGTTGGCCTGGGGCCCCTCAGGCTGTCACTCCAGGCTGTGCTGTCAGTACAGTTGGGGTCTGGCCAAGGCCTCATATCTTTAGATACCTTTTCTTCTGTGTTGCCTTTGCATGCATCTGATCCTGGCTCCGTCAGTGGCTCACCGTGGGGCCCTCTGTGAGTCGCAGCCTCTAGGCTCAGTGTCTTCATCTGTGAAATGGGGACAAGAGCAGCACCTGATTCCTAAAGGTGGTTTTGGGGGTCGGATGAGGTGGGCATTGCAGCCGGTAGCACAGTGTGGCCCTTGAACAATACAGGTGCCACAGCCGGCATTGTTCTTACGCTGCCACCACCACCACCGTGGTGGGTCCAGAAACCTCCAGAGGCTGAAGGAGGAGCGTCTGGCCTCAGCAGAGGTTTCTGCTTGGCTGAGGTGGGACTGGAGCCGCCTGCATTGGAACCCTTATTCAGCAAAGACCCCAGAATGCAAAGGGCTTCCCATGTATCCTGGGCTGTGGAGCCCCACATGTAACCATGTGGGTGAGGCTGGAGGGTGGTCGAGGCCTTTGGTAGCCTGTGCAGTGGGGGCTGAGCCTGGAGCACAGGTCATTCCTGGTGCGGGAGGGCTCCTCCCTGTGCCGGTGGATGAAGGGGGCTCCCTGTGGAGCCAGGAGAAAGGAGGGCATTGAGGAGCATGGGAGGAAGCATCTCCAGCCCTCGACCTGAGTGCTGGGCTCCTGGGAGCAAATGGCCGCTGAGCCCAGTGGCAGCTGCCCAGATGGGGCTGACCACCTTAGGGAGCAGTCACAGCTTTACTCTTCACTCCTGTTAGGGCCAGCTGCCCCTGGGCAGCTCTGCTGTATGCTTCAGCGAGGCCCGTGCCCCAGGGCTGCTGCAGGTGGCTCCCTGCCTCCTGCCTCTTCCTCAGTCCTGCCCCATTTGGACGCTGCCCCCCACCTCTCCCCATTTTGGTCTTCCTGGCCAGCAGCCCACCTGCCCTGGAAGCCTGTCTGCCACCTCATGCTGGTTCTTATCATTCCCACTGCCTTGCATCCCGTGGCCAAGGGCCCCTGTGCACCTGCTCAAGGGTGGCTTTGAGCCCCCACCTGGGACACCCCCCCCCCCCCCCCGTCAGTCTTTGGGCTCACGATGGGGCGAGGCCGGCGCTGAATTCTTGTTACCCTGGGTATCCCCCACCTGCTCTGCACCGACTGCCAGGGGTCTTGAGGGCTCCTGCCACCCCTCCTCCCTGCGTCCACTCTGCCATCCCTCCATTGCTACGACCATCTGTGGCTTCCCCTGCGAGGCAGAGAGGTGGGGGGGGCGGGGGGCGGGGCGGACGCTCACTGCCGGTCTCCCCACAGCAGGCCGCAGAACTCGGCCAAAGCACGCTCGGTCTGGGAGCAGAGGGCCAGCCAGCTGCGGCTGCAGAACCTGCGGGCCAGCTGCGAGGCGCTGTACAGCGAGATGGACCCCGAGGAGCGGCTGCGCTACGCCACCACGCGCCACCTGCGGCCGGACATGAAGACGCACCTGGACCGGCCGCTCGTGGTGGAGCTGGGCCGCGACGGGCCGCGGGGCCCCCCGGGGGGCAAGGCCCGGCCCGAGGGCGCAGAGGCCGGCGAGGGCACGGACCCACCCCGCAGGCACCACCGGC